ACCTTCTGGTTACACCCAGGTGCCTCATTCTCTCCAGGCCCTAGTAATCTTGTTTCTCTACTGATTCCGCTGCTTGTTTCCAAAGGGCCTTGACCACATCTGCATTGTTCTGTATCAATAGTAGCTGGGGCTGTACCGAATCGAATAGTGATTTTCACTATTCGGCCGAATACGAACAACTGGACCAACTATTCGACCGAATACGAATACGAATAGTGAATCATCATCATCAGGTGCTTTGCCGACTGGCACAGGCGATTATGCCTTATCATAATCTGCGATCTCCTGCAGCATGTATTAGTTTCGTGTGCTGACACATCTAAGGTATTTTAAACATTGTTCTGTAAAACCACATCTCTGAGGCCTCAAGAAATTGTTTGGCCTGGCTACCGACTGTCCAGGACTCACAGCCATGTTAAAACTGGATGTATGTAGCAAGCAAGAATTCTTTTTCTAACCTTCAATGACAAAGATATATTGCATAAGATTTTCTTCATTTTATAAAATGCAGTTTTTGCCTGTCCTATTCTGTTTTTAATTTCAGTAATGCATCTTCCATCTGATGTTATCCATGTACCTAGATACTCAAATTTCTGTACTTGTCCAAAACTAACACCATTTACTTTTATTACACATTTAGGAATAATTATTTTCTTTGATACCACCATTACTTCTGTCTTCCCGCTATTCAAACTGAGGCCCATTCTTTCAATTTCGAATAGTGTATAAAATAAATCTTTAAAAAAAAAATAAAAATACTTCCATAATGTCGAATCTACGCTGAAATTTTACTTCACAAAATGTAGTACATAATAGTAAACATTTAAAAACATTTTATGTTTTGCATCCTTCAGTCAGTCAGTCTCTGGTAACTAATACCTAGGAATGAAAGTATTCTTAGTTTTATAACAATTAACTGAACTTGCAAATTGTCACTGACAGCTTAGTTAATGCATGAAAGCGGCATTAGCTTTCCAAAAGAAAAAGAAAAAAAAAAAAAAAAAACACCAACAATCGTTTCATGTTGTCGGCATTAAGGCAGATTCTTGTCTCACTGAAGGTATTTCCAACTGTACTAAACAGACGTTCACTTGGTACGCTCGTAGGTGGTGCACAAATATAACGCTTGACAGTATGAACCAAGGTGGGAAATCTTGATATGTTCATTTTCCACCAGTCACGAAACGGGTGTAATGTAACCACTATTCGTATTCGGCCCGACCGCAACTATTCGGCAGAATACCGAATAGTTATTAGGTCCACTATTCGGCCCCGAAGCGAATACGAAGCGAATATTCGGTACAGCCCTAATAGTAGAACTCGAACTGATGATACATGTTCTTATATATCGCAAAAGTTGGAGAAACATACTTGCCCGTGGCAGCTGGCAAGGCATCGAAGATGACAATTTTTAAAATTTATGCGTTATGGTGTTAATTATTTTTAAGTTAACTTTAGGTCCATGTAACTAATATTGTTCTAATTTTCCGATTAAGAAGTACTTTGGTTACTAAGAAGGAGTCGCGGTGGTGGGGTGTCTAAACCAGACTATTGAACTAAGTTTTCTCAGGGACAAAAATATTGAAAATGGGGATCGTCACAGGCCAGAACCATAGCATCAAAAGATTATTATTACAGAACAATTGGCAATGATCCGCGGGCTAGATTCGTGTCCGCCAGTTGAAGATGAAAAATGTCGACATCCTGCATAACTTGAACATCAAGGAGAACTGGCTCGTAAACAGCACCCTGTCTCGAAAGCTGAGTTATTTTTCACATGCCAAGAGCCATGGTGGTCTGCAGAGAACGGCAATGAAGGATGGAAGACGAGGCAACAATCGACCACCTCGGAGGCGGAGACAGGACATTGAAGATGCATTGGCTATGAAAGCACTTACAGTTCTAGAATTGGCTAAAGAAAGAAAGACTTTAAGACGTGTCGTAAAGAGGGTAATTATGTGGCTCTCAACCATCCCAATACCGCGACCCTTTAATACAGTTCCTTATATTGTGGCGACCCTTTAATACAGTTCCTTATATTGTGGCGACCCTTTAATACAGTTCCTTATATTGTGGCGACCCTTTAATACAGTTCCTTATATTGTGGCGACCCTTTAATACAGTTCCTTATATTGTGGCGACCCTTTAATACAGTTCCTTATATTGTGGCGACCCTTTAATACAGTTCCTTATATTGTGGTGACCCTTTAATACAGTTCCTTATATTGTGGTGACCCTTTAATACAGTTCCTTATATTGTGGCGACCCTTTAATACAGTTCCTTATATTGTGGCGACCCTTTAATACAGTTCCTTATATTGTGGTGACCCTTTAATACAGTTCCTCATGTTGTGGTGACCCTTTAATACAGTTCCTTATATTGTGGTGACCCTTTAATACAGTTCCTTATATTTTGGCGACCCTTTAATACAGTTCCTTATATTGTGGTGACCCTTTAATACAGTTCCTTATATTGTGGTGACCCTTTAATACAGTTCCTTAAATTGTGGTGACCCTTTAATACAGTTCCTTATATTGTGGCGACCCTTTAATACAGTTCTTTATATTGTGGTGACCCTTTAATACAGTTCCTTATATTGTGGTGACCCTTTAATACAGTTCCTAATATTGTGGCCACCCTTTAGTACAGTTCCTTATATTGTGGCGACCTTTTAATACAGAACCTTATATTGTGGTGACCCTTTAATACAGTTCCTTATATTGTGGCGATCCTTTAATCCAGTTCCTTATATTGTGGTAACTCTTTAATACAGTTCCTTATATCGTGGCGACCCTTTAATACAGTTCCTTATATTGGGGCGACCCTTTAATACAGTTCCTTATATTGTGGTGACCCTTTAATACAGTTCCTTATATTGTGGTGACCCTTTAATACAGTTCCCTAAATTGTGGTGACCCTTTAATACAGTTCCTTATATTGTCGTGACCCTTTAATACAGTTCCCTAAATTGTGATAACCCTTTAATACAGTTCCTTATATTGTGGTGACCCTTTAATACAGTTCCTTATATTGTGGCGACCCTTTAATACAGTTCCTTATATTGTGGTGACCCTTTAATACAGTTCCTTATATTGTGGCGACCCTTTAATACAGTTCCTTATATTGTGGTGACCCTTTAATACAGTTCCTTATATTGTGGCGACCCTTTAATACAGTTCCTTATATTGTGGCGACCCTTTAATACAGTTCCTCATGTTTTTGCTACTTTATAGCTTCAATGAATATTTGTTTTGCGATGGTTTTTGTCGACTCCTGCGAAAGGGTCGTTCGATCCACACACACACACACACAAAAAGTTTGAGAACCGCTGGGCTAATTGATTGATTGAGACGCTCGCCTGCGAATCTGAAAGTTTTGAATTTCAAATAATATTTGAAAAATGAACGAAGTCGGACTGTTTTTTGTGCTTTTTTTATATTCTACCCCAAACAGGGAAAATCCACAGGTCACGGAAAAGTCTAATATTTCAGGGGGTGGTAGATAGACTGGATGCAGTCGTGGGAAACCCAGTCTTACCATCCTCTAAAATGTTGGACTGTCCTGTGACGTCATCTGGGGGGTAGGATACCTTTTTTTTTTTTTAAATGACCTTGGCTCCTAGGTCAACCTAACTAGGATGTTCGTTCATCGCAGGTGATGATGACCGGTCCTTTCATCCAATGGTGACTGGATTAGGTTTTGTGAGTGCGCAGATGGCCGATGAGGCCTAATGTAGCACTGAAAGTTCTTGAACAGTTGGACATGGAATTTAAGCCGCATCTCTCTGGTGATTTGCTTCAGTGTCTTTTCTGGCTTGTATTTTCTGAACTTTTGCTGCAGTTCTAGCATCTTCATGGGCCACAGCTCCTCGATGAAGAGAGGAGCAGGAGGATGAGCGGTGACATGCAGCGACTGTCCAGCTTCCAAGGACTTCCCAACCTAACCACATCACACACCGAGTGCCGATTAGCATTAAAATATTGGTCTCGCATTATGTGTCCAGAATGCCGGAAGACGTAGAAAATGGTCCTTCATTTAGTTGCTAACCCTGAATAAAAAGACAAAAATGTACTGTTCCGAACCTGGTCTCTGAAAGCCTGGTACCAAAGTCACACGACACGCCTTGCTTCCGAATTCAAGCCAACAAAGCAGACCCCGCGTCTCCTCCGCTAAATCTGTATAATTATAACTAGGATCCCTTATTTACAAACACATAGGTCAAATCGTTTTTCATACAAGGACAATAACTCCTTTCAATCCCTGTAGATTTTTTCAGCAGACGCCAACAGCTGGTGAATAACCTTTATGACAAATCACGAGTACTGTACTGAGACAGAGGCTAAATATATAATTCTTTTTTTTTTTTTTCCTATGATCGCTCTCTGATTTACGCCGACATACGAATTCTTTTCTTCTACTTTTTCTTCTTCTTCTTCTTCTTCTTCTGCTTCTTCTTCCTCTTCTTCTTCTTCTTCTTCTTCTTCTTCTTCTTCTTCTTCTTCTTCTTCTTCTTCTTCTTCTTCTTCTTCTTCTTCTTCTTCTTCTTCTTCTTCTTCTTCTTTTTCTTTTCCTCTTCTTCTTCTTCTTCTTCTTCTTCTTCTTCTTCTTCTTCTTCTGCTTATTCTTTTTCTTCGAACCTTCTGTCAGAAACCTTATATCAGGAGGCCGGTAGCCTTCATGAAAGCTATCGTCCATATCCTCTCGCGTGCCATACAACTTTGTCTCTATTGTGGTTGGAACAGGCAAGATTGCGTCTCTGTTGTCCGCATACAATTGATTGTGTTGGAGCACATGCTCAGCATTTTTGTATGCAACGCTGCAGGGACACGTCTCCGTGTTTCCTAGACCGAAACATTTTGAACAGTGTTATTATTTAGATTGTTATGATGCAATTAAACGAGGCTTGAGGCTGCCTTTCCCCAGTGTTTTCACTGAACCAATGCCTCTTGTGTAGAGGAACACTGCTTATTGACCTAACTCAGGCATCTCATATCAGCAGATCTTACACAACAGCGACGGGAAGGAGTCATGTCAAATGTATGGGTTACAGTTTGCATCTTCATCTCCCTCGCCTGCCCATCTATTGCTCGTAAGTAGACGTGTTTATTGTTTGATATGTAAATGTTTCGCTGTGAGCAGTAAAGAAATGTCATTATCGTCGTCATGTCACCATCTTCTGGTCATCGTCATGTCACCATCTTCTGGTCGTCGTCATGTCAACATCTTCTGGTTGTCGTCATGTCACCATCTTGTGGTCGTCGTCATGTCAACATCTTCTGGTCGTCGTCATGTCAACATCTTCTGGTTGTCGTCATGTCAACATCTTCTGGTTGTCGTCATGTCAACATCTTCTGGTTGTCGTCATGTCAACATCTTCTGGTTGTCGTCATGTCACCATCTTGTGGTCGTCGTCATGTCAACATCTTCTGGTTGTCGTCATGTCAACATCTTCTGGTTGTCGTCATGTCAACATCTTCTGGTCGTCGTCATGTCAACATCTTCTGGTTGTCGTCATGTCAACATCTTCTGGTTGTCGTCATGTCAACATCTTCTGGTTGTCGTCATGTCAACATCTTCTGGTTGTCGTCATGTCAACATCTTCTGGTTGTCGTCATGTCAACATCTTCTGGTTGTCGTCATGTCAACATCTTCTGGTTGTCGTCATGTCACCATTTTCTGGTCGTCGTCATGTCAACATATTCTGGTTGTCGTAATGTCAACATTTTCTGGTTGTCGTCATGTCAACATCTTCTGGTTGTCGTCATGTCAACATCTTCTGGTTGTCGTCATGTCAACATCTTCTGGTTGTCGTCATGTCAACATCTTCTGGTTGTCGTCATGTCAACATCTTCTGGTCGTCGTCATGTCACCATTTTCTGGTCGTCGTCATGTCAACATCTTGTGGTCGTCGTCATGTCACCATTTTCTGGTCGTCGTCATGTCAACATCTTCTGGTCGTCGTCATGTCAACATCTTCTGGTCGTCGTCATGTCACCATTTTCTGGTCGTCGTCATGTCAACATCTTCTGGTTGTCGTCATGTCAACATCTTCTGGTCGTCGTCATGTCAACATCTTCTGGTCGTCGTCATGTCACCATCTTCTGGTTGTCGTCATGTCACCATCTTGTGGTCGTCGTCATGTCACCATCTTCTGGTCATCGTCATGTCACCATTTTCTGGTCGTCGTCATGTCACCATCTTATGGTCGTCGTCATGTCACCATCTTGTGGTCGTCGTCATGTCAACATCTTCTGGTCATCGTCATGTCACCATTTTCTGGTCGTCGTCATGTCACCATCTTCTGGTCGTCGTCATGTCAACATCTTCTGGTTGTCGTCATGTCAACATCTTCTGGTCGTCGTCATGTCAACATCTTCTGGTCGTTGTCATGTCAACATCTTCTGGTCCTCGTCATGTCAATATCTTCTGGTCGTCGTCATGTCACCATCTTCTGGTCATCGTCATGTCACCATCTTATGGTCGTCGTCATGTCACCATCTTATGGTCGTCGTCATGTCACCATCTTGTGGTCGTCGTCATGTCAACATCTTCTGGTCATCGTCATGTCACCATTTTCTGGTCGTCGTCATGTCACCATCTTCTGGTCGTCGTCATGTCAACATCTTCTGGTCATCGTCATGTCACCATCTTCTGGTCGTCGTCATGTCACCATCTTCTGGTCGTCGTCATGTCAACATCTTCTGGTCGTCGTCATGTCACCATGTTTTGGTCGTTGTCATGTCAACATCTTCTGGTCCTCGTCATGTCAATATCTTCTGGTCATCGTCATGTCACCATCTTCTGGTTGTTGTCATGTCAACATCTTCTGGTCATCGTCATGTCAACATCTTCTGGTCGTCGTCCTGCCAACATCTTCTGGTCGTCGTCATGTCAACATCTTCTGGTTGTCGTCATGTCAACATCTTCTGGTTGTCGTCATGTCAACATCTTCTGGTTGTCGTCATGTCAACATCTTCTGGTCGTCGTCATCTTCTTCTGCTCTTCTGTGTTCGCTCTAAAAAACGCTATTTTGACGTTGTTTTAAAATTTAGGTTGCTGAAGGGGGGGGGGGGGATCCGAAAACTATGAGTTGTAAACCCTTTGGCTGGGTACTGTTGATATCGCATCCCCTCAGCCTTGATACCATCATAGATTTCGTAAATCTGGGAAATATGTGGCATTTCTGCCTACCAATGCTGATATATAAACCGACGGCTAGGTGAAGTTGGGAGAACAGTGAACAGTCATGATTTCAGAACTTACAGATCTTCAGATAAGTGATGTAAATGGTTACTCCACACGAGCAGCCTCACACGGTAATGAGTACTGGCACAAGATCACCAGGTGACTCAGGAGCCTACCATAAATTACCTTTTGTAATATTCCCGAGGTAAAATGAAGGGGGAGGGGGGGGGGAAGGGTGCGAGCGCTAATCCTAGTTATAGCTAATCCCAGTAATAATAAAAAAAATATTATAATTATTATTATTATGTGCTGAATGGTATATAAAACTAATTATATATTGGAAATAATATGAAATAAATAAACAAATAATTTTTTAAGATAATTTCAATACATGATTAAAGTGGGTTCCTTAGGTTCTTTATAAAATTACTTTTGCTGAACAACACAAAATCTTTTTGTAAGAGTTAAAGGGACAGGAGCTCCTCCTCTTCCACCCCCACCCCCCTCCAAGTTCCGGCACCTATGTTAAGACCATGCGCTGGTTGTTGCCAGTTGGGATATGTTTCCTAGCAACAAAAAGTAATAACACACGTTATCTTGTTTGTTTCAACATAACGCTTGTTTCAACATCTTGCTTGTTTCAACATAACGCTTGTTTCAACATAACGCTTGTTTCAACATCTTGCTTGTTTCAACATAACGCTTGTTTCAACATAACGCTTGTTTCAACATCTTGCTTGTTTCAACATAACGCTTGTTTCAACATAACGCTTGTTTCAACATCTTGCTTGTTTCAACATAACGCTTGTTTCAACATAACGCTTGTTTCAACATCTTGCTTGTTTCAACATCTTGCTTGTTTCAACATAACGCTTGTTTCAACATCTTGCTTGTTTCAACATAACGCTTGTTTCAACATCTTGCTTGTTTCAACATAACGCTTGTTTCAACATCTTGCTTGTTTCAACATCATGCTTGTTTCAACATCATGCTTGTTTCAACATCATGCTTGTTTCAACATCTTGTTTGTTTCAGAATGTGATTATGGATACTTTGGCATCAACTGTACCTCCAGCTGCCACTGTTTAAACAATGACTTCTGCAACCAAACAGATGGGCGTTGCAGCAACTGGAAATGTGATCGGGGCTACACCGGCTTGCCACAATGTCAGGAAAGTAAGTCACAGTCACAACAGTAATAGAGCTTAACTGTTTTTTGTTTTAGATGTATAGAAACTGGTGCTCAAAATAGGAAATAAAAGATATGAAAAGTCTTGAGAGCTCTCAGTCAGCCGAATGTCCTAATATGGGACGCAGTTTTTCATTCTTTTAAAGCCCTACTATGGCTGTTGTAAGGGGCCCTAATATAACCAAACCTATGGGTTGAACGGGGTTTCTGGGACCTGTCCCCAGGTGATCCTCATCCAAATGGTGGCAGTTTGTATCACCGGGTGTTTATCGCTCGTTGTGATGTCCTGGGAGGATTAAACTGCAATGGAACTAGCCACAAGAAAAGTCAGATTTTTTTAGTACTCTCCTGGGAAAAAAAGCAGTGTTTCTCAATTGCAAACTTTTTAAACATGACAACACAAACAATATATTTCACAGTTTACTACCTGCCATATTTGATAATTACTGAGAAGATAAGTTAAACCAGTGCTGCTGTTTGCTATGAACTTTGGCAAACTGATTGGCTGGATCTGCACCACTGGGTGGCGAATTGATACATGACAAGGCAGATGTGATCAAGGCCCTTTGGGAACAAGCAACAGAATCAGTAGAGAAGGCCCCCGTGTGGGTTCCGGGGCCCTATTGTGGGGAAAACAAGAATAGACCCACTGCCTCCCCAAAAGCATGTCGTAAGAGTCGACTAACTGGGGAGCTTCCTTTGAAGTCGGAGTGCATCTGCCTGAGAGGCAAGGAACCAGCAGTCTGCATTCAATTGAATCAGATCTGTAAAACTGATGCACATGCAACACTCAGGTTCTGGAGCATGACTGCAATTCAATAGTGGACGAACAACCAGAACTTTACGCCAGAGTGTACAGCTGGTGAACACAAAGAAGAAAGAAGAAGAAGTAGAGAAGGAAGATTATTATGGCCTGGAAATAATGAGGCACCTGGGTGTAACCAGAGGGTCTGGCTGGCTTACTACACTCAGAGGAAAGGCAAGACAGATTTTTAACCAGATTGTGACTGGTACCATCAGTCTTGGAACTCTGCGCTGGCTGCTGAAGATGAGGACGAAGCATGCATAGGAATGCCCCTAGTGCTGTGATGTCAATTCTTGACTCAACTCAACTCAGCTGTGAAATGCAAATACCCAAAATATGAGCTTGCAGGCTATAGAGATGTGAATTCTAAGAAGCACGCTGTCGTTACTGGGGACAGCTAGTGTAACTAACAATGGCTGCCTGGAATTGTTAATGAAATTAGAAAACTGTACAACTATCAGAAAGAGACAGTAAGTGTTCTTCCATCATGGGATGAGAAGAGAGGCACTTGAGAACATCATGATGACTAGAAAGATCAGCGTTAGAGAAATGAACAAATAGATTTTTATTTTCAAAGGTTTAGATTGGGCTCGCAGACACAGACCGAGAGACATGATGCGTGATGGCCTGAAGTGATGACATGGAGGAATATCATCAGTAGAACTGATTCAGAATATCAAGGATCAAGATCTGTGTAGAGACATGAGAGTCTACACCATCTTGCAGGGCACATGATAATGATTATATCAATATGAAAGGCATCCGCTGCATGGCACTCTGAAAGATTTGAGAGTAGACCGTTTGAAGAGAGGAAAGTTAAGGATGGCACTAGCTAAAGATACTATCCGGACATCAGCCTCAGTCAGCAAATACACAAGAGAAGTGATTGTGAATGGCATAAGTCAGTGACATAGAGGAATATCATCAATGGAATTGATCCAGAACACCAAAGACTGAGATCTGTGGAGATGAATGAATGTCTCTGCCAATTGGCAAGGCACTTGATGATGATGGTGATATTTTGAAAAATATAAAAGAACATTTAAAAACTGTAGGTAAATAAAGCTGTGAACAAATTTGTTAGTTAACTGTGTAAAATAATTGTTTTTAAGAATTTTTCAGAAATTGCCAGGATTTCATGACTTACTTTAAAAAAAAAATATTTCCAGGGTGAAAGATTAAGATATAAATGCTAACATGATGTTGTTACTCTGCTTAAGTTATGGGCATTATCAGTAACACATGGATAAAAGTAAAATTATTACCCCTTTATTATTAACTCTTTCTCTTGGTGGTCTTCATGGTCAAGTGGGCAAGCTATTTGCCTTGCGATCTGAAGGTCGTAGGTTCACTTCACCGACATGTCATTCAGTTCATGAGACCAGTTTAAAAAAAAAAGTATTTTGAGATCCCCAGGGATCATCAAAGGAGCTGCAGAGTTTGTGCTCTGTGTGATCCTCTCGGCAAGGTGACCAGCCAGTCTGCAGAGAGAGAGAGAGAGAGAGAGAGAGACTGAGACATTTGGGATAAAAACCTGGTGCTATGAGGTTTATCCTCTCTACTTTAAATTTTAACTTTATTTAACTCTTTCTGAACCAGACCAAATCACCATGCTTTTTTGTTTACACCTTGTATGATATATTTTTCTAAACTATATATGTAATAGACATTGTCTATCATTTCCCCATTTTGGATCCAAGGCTCCATTTGATCAACAACAAAATTTACCCATTGCTGCCTAGCAAGCATGTCCTAGGAGATGACTAATTAGGCTTGTTTCCTTCAAAGTCAGAGTGCATCTGTCTGACAGGTGAGTAACCAACAGTCTGCACACAAGTAGACCGGATCTGTAAAATGGATGTGCGTGCAAACCTCAGGTTCTGGAATAAGACTAAAGTTTGCAAGGGGATGAAAAACCGTAACTTTCTGCCTAGACGTTGTTTACACTAAATTGTATGGTAATTGCAGTTTCAGACATCTTTGTCTCACTGTTGTATTATTTTAACGCCGTATATAAATTATTTTACAGTAAAATGTCTGTGATATTCTTGTCCACTTCTTATGTCTGTTTTCATCTCATCTTGATCCTCCGGTACCTTGCGACGTCGAGATGAAGTATAATTTACGGGAAAGTGCCCTTTTGTGGGCTTCATAAATGGGGATTCCCAATGACTTTGTTATTCCCTCTGTCGATCGTTTGCATGGTTAACCTCTTTTTTGCTTCCCACCTGGACTGTACATAATTGCTTCCTGTGGTATACTGTTTGCTTCGTCTTCCTTATATGGCCAAACCATATCACCTCGTGTCTTTTAATGAAAACCAGTGTTAAAGTTACTACTATTTTCCTTCATATTTCATCATTCTTGATCTTGTCTCTTATTATTAAATTAATAATCTCTCATAGGAATCTCATTTCAGTTGTTGTAATTTTTCTTTTCTCTTTTTCTGTCGTTCTCCAGGTCTAGCACTAGTAACTCAAAGTTGGCAAGAAGATTATGTCCTAGCTTTCTATTGATGTATGTTTGTTTCTTAGTACTGGGGCAATTTACCAAATGATATGGTTTGCTCTGTTACAACTGTCTTCTGTATTCACCTTTAAAAGTGTGATTGTTACATTCTATTGTTGTTTACAGCTAGGCTGCAATATCTACACCTTTTGGTATAATAATTCGATTTCAGCAAACCCATACTTATTCATTCTTTTCATCATCGTTTTAGGGTAGTAGCACGTCTACTCCGCCACATCCCTCCCTCCCTTAAAAAGGAAAAAAAACTGGAGTCCTGATACCCACACTTAATTTGTCTGAGATTAAAAGAGTGAATGATTTAACTCTCTTTCCTCCATCAGTATGCCCGGACATGACATTTGGCCTGGATTGTGCATTTGAATGTCACTGCCCAGTGAATGACAACTGCAGCAATGTGAATGGAGACTGCAGTAGCGGCCGCTGTCATCCCGACTGGGGAAGTGCTGGATGCCAGAAGAGTGAGTTTATAGTCCTTTGTTTCAGGTGTTGCTCGGTCATTCTTCTTTTTTTTTTTTGTTCACCAGCTGTAAGCTCTGGTTGAAAGTTCTGGTTGTTTATCCACTTGGACTTTGGTTTCATGCCAGAGCCTGAGTTTTGCATGTACATCCATTTTACTAGCTTGTTTGTGTGCAGTTGGTTGTTCCTTGCCTCTCAGGCAGATATACTTTGACTTAGAATGAATGCCAAAATTAGTCAAATCTTAGGACGTGCTTGTTGGGGGGGGGGGGGGGGGGGGTAATGTGTCTATCCTAGTTTTCCCCTAAATGGGACTCCGGAACCCACATGGGGAACTCAGTCATTCAGTTAGGTGCCATCTGCCTAATGAAGGTAAGCTGCAAGTGATTTCCAACAGGTTGCATCTTAGCCCTTAGCTTTCCCTCCATTGTGGTTGTTATGAGAATTTTGTGTCTTTTCAAATGGCAAATGCTTTTTTCTTTTCTTTTGCTCTGTGTCAGAATTGATTGAAAGAACTGATTGACCATATAAAAAATGAAGACGTGAGACAGAGGGTTGTGAACAGGCATGACTACCAACGCCACATGGTATGGTATATGCAAGATCATCTGTGTCAGAAATGATTGAAAGCACATGAGACAGAAGTCTGTGGATAGACATGACTACCTCCATTTGACATATTTCAAAGTTCCGTATTTTCCCCAAAATAAGCCCTATCACGATCTTTTAAAGCATGTTTTAATATAAGCTCTACCCCCAAAAAATAAGCCCTTGTTAAGATTATCATTTAGGATGAAAGACTTGTTGCGGCTTGGCCATTTGGAGTATAGACGCCACTGGTAAGCACTTGATAATGAATGGATGTGGTTCATAATTCAAAGTATGTATAGCCTAGTTTGCAGGACATCGTGACTTGTGTGACGAATGTGTGGGATAAAATCACTGACAGCTGTGTTTTAACACGTGCACACTATGAGCAGGCTGCGTGGATAAGAAATGCTGATTTAAGGCAAGCTTTATTCCTAGGATGAGCGTCTGGCCGAATCGTTATAATGCTGGGTTTTCAAGCTGGAGAGCAGTGTCGAATCTTCAGTAAGGCTAGGGATTTATTTCTGTCTGGGGAAAAATAAAACCCTCACCTGCACAGTCGTGGCGACAGCACTAGCCATGCGGCCGTAAATCCTCAGGCTCAAAGACCCCCTTGCCTACACCGCAAAAGTGGTATAACAAAGACAGTAATTGGCAGTGTTTTTGGCAGTTTTATTCCTAAACAGGAGAAACTAGGATCAGTGGTTTTAAAGGAAATTGAGACACAAGAAATTCAGGCCAGAATTTAGGCTTTAGGTAGCTGTGACGATGTTCCAGAATATGATGACATTAGTGTATTTGAAGACATAAAATAACCCCTGGTGCATTTTTTCGGTCAAAATTAATATTTAAAAAAAATGTTGAATGTTGAATTAAGAATTGACATTACAGCACTCAGAACATTCCCATAAGTGCTCAATTTCCATCTTCAGCAGCAGTCACTGAGTTCCAATTCAAGTGGTACCAGTAACAGTCTGATTGAAAAAAATAAAATAATATAAGACAGTCCTTTTTTGTTGTTGAGGAAACAAGGTGACTATGGCACAAAAGGAGTTGAATATATTGCAAGCCTTCTTATATACTTGGTACATGCTTACCATATGCTGATCTTTCCCATGATATGTCCAGGACTTCCCAAACTTGCCTTGCCACCCAGGGTGCTTGAGGTCAAGTGCAGCAACATCACTGTTGGATGGAGTGCCTTCAATGAAACAAACGACATTGGGAAAGGACCAGCAGCACAGTATAGGTAAGATATCATCCTGTAAGTGATACTTCTGATCAGTATGGTGGATAGGCATTTTACTTCTTTTTTTTTTGTTGGTTGCGACAAGTTTCTGCTTATGACAGTAGTGTAGCAGTTGCATTTTCCTTCATATAAAAACACATAGGATATAGTTCCATTGCCCATTTACTGAGTTGAGATCATGGCACGACACTGAGCTGTGGATTTCATTTGGAATGCTTTTCTACTGTGCCCATTGGGGCTTGTCTTGTCTGCGAATAACATGTTGTCATTTTTAACTGGTGGTGCCTAAGGCAACTAATTGCATGTGCACCTACTTATATGCTGTAACTGTTGCTTCCATTGACAATGAACTGCATTTCTAATGCCAGATTATTTGTGCTTTATGCATTTATTGCTTGTGTTTGTGCTATTGGCTTTATTGAGACTACAGTCTTTGTAAGTTTTATTCTGCAAGAGACAGTGATAGAAATTCTGGGTTGTTTTTGTATCATTCAAACTAGCAAGTTTGGAAGTCTCTGTGAGTTCTCACATGCATAAACATACATTTAAAATGAAACTGTTTGTTTAGTCATTACTGGAACAACAGTGAAAGAAAAAGAAAAAGGTTGTGTCTTTGTTTAAAAAATCATCATGACACCATTATGAATTGAGTTACATTTAGCTGTTTTGTCAAGCTTGTTGCACAGTAAATATGATTTCAACTAGCATTTTTTCATGTTTACTTTCCCTTGAATTTGACTTTCCTATACTTAGAAAATTTGTATCTCTCAATATCTTAACCTGCCTAACAAGCTCAGCTCTACCAGTAGCTAAGCTACCATCCACTTAACTCTTGGCTCTTGGGCTCATCAGGTCACACAAGCCCTTCTATAGTATCAAAGTGAGGACACATCAAAAGGAAGAAACATGTAGAGGAAAACACAATCTTGATGTAATGTTTGATATTTTATTATCTTAATTTAATTTTCCACAGGCTTTACAAAACTGCCAGTCAGTCAAACAGCAGCCAGTGGCAGCTGGCAGATAACATAACAGAACAAACTGGCAAGTCAATGTACACTTACAGCATCACAACCGGCCTTGTTCCTGGCATGATGTATTACTTCAGAGTGGATGTTGTTGGGGAAGAGTTTGGGAAACCAGCGTCACAGATCAGTACAGGAGCAGTGTCTGATGCCCAGATGTATGTTTGCACAAGTACGTGTGATGCTTAGTTAGTTAGTTAGTTATTCCTCTTGTGCCAAAGATGGCGCATAGGGCAGAGGTCATAGCTTTCCACGTCTGTCGGTTCGTTGCCACTTGATGTAGGTCTTGAGTGCGACTGAGACCTATGGTTGAGCTCTCCCTTGTGATGGTTCTACGGAGAGTTTCTTTTGGTCTTCCCTGTTTTCTTTTACCCTCTGGTGACCATATGAAGGCTTGGTGGGGAAGTCTCTGTATGTCCATTCTGAGTACGTGACCGATGTAATTCCAGCGACGCATTCTAATAAAATCAGACACATATTTTTGTTTTGTTTCCTGTCTTATAGATGTATTGGACCTAAAGTCCGACCAGTGAACATTCAATAGCTTTCGGAGGCATCTATTCTCGAAAGCGACTAGTTTCTTATCGATTGATACTGATGATTTCCAACTCTCACAACCATAAGTTAGCACTGGGATCACACAGGAATTGAAGACCTCAAGTTTCGTGTTGTTGCTGAGTGATCTTGACTTCCAAATGTTTGACAATTTGTTAAAGGCACTTGATGCTAACGCGATTCGAGTCGTTATTTCTGATGTTGTATCTCCCGCAGAGGTTATCTTGCTCCCTAAGTATGTGAAGCTGGTGATTTTTTCAAGAACAATATCCTTTAGTTTGATGTCTTTCGACTCGTTGGTAAGATCGATGATTTTCGTTTTGGCTGCGTTGACCTGAAGGCCGATTTGGCTTGAAATATTCTGGAGGCGGTCCATTTTTTCCTGAGCTTCTAGATGTGTTGTGCTCAGGAGTGCTAGGTCGTCAGCAAAGTCAAGATCTTCGAGAACTTAGTCGACCCATTTGATGCCTAGATGTGTGTCCTGTGTGCATTTGCGCGTGACCCAATCGAGTGCTATTCCGAAAAGCATCGGTGACAAGACACATCCTTGTTTCACGCCTGTTTCTACTGGGAACCAATCAGAGTTACTAGATTCCGTTCTAACGTGTGATGCATCAACAAGTATATTTAGCTCATTTGGTACCAATCAACTCGCCTTACATTTGTTTGCTCCCGCCTAATTAAATTATATACTTTTCCAAACTCCATGTGTCCCAAAAATTTGCTATGCTAACTATCTCTACACCATTAGTTGGTCTGTCATGCCCAGTTCTTAACACTTTCTTCTTCTTCATGTTCACCAGCTCTAAACTCTGGCAGACAGTTCTGGGTATTCGTCCACCTCTGGACTTTAGTTCCAGAGTGTTGCGTGCACATAACTTTTACACATCTGATGGAGATTTTTGGTTACTTGCCTCTCGGACAGATGCAGCCTGATTTTGAAGGAAGCCCCTAGCTAGTGGACTCTTAGGACATGCTTGTTGGGGAGGCAGTGGATCTGTTCTCATTTTCCTCACAATGGGGCCCCAGAACCCACATGGGGATCTTAACCCTTTGAAAATGAAGTTTGTTTATATACCAGTCAGCACCCACTGAGTGCGGTGAGCATGGACAAACTGAAATGGCTGCTGCATCTGAGGACAGAGCAGAAGTAGGTTAGACTGATATGCTAGTATGTTAATACAGATAAGAAGTAACAAGTAATAAAGTTTGTTTTTTCAATTATTCATTTCTTCATTATTAAAAGTTTGTTTGCTCATTCATTCATTTCTTCATTATCAACTTATTCAATTTTTTCATTTTATTATTTAAGTCCTTCAGAGCTAAATATTTGTTAAATAAAAACTCCACAGAGTATGATGCACAGAGTTACAAGTAAGATCTGCTTTGAGACTGAAATTGTGAAAGTTTCTATCATAGGAAGCTGATTTTTTTTTTCACGGATACCACTCTTAATGGGGGGGGGGGGGGGGGGGAGACCCACTGCCTCCTCGCCAAGCATGTCCTAGGAGTCATCTCATTGGGCACTTCCTTCATATTAATACTTTATTCTATCTCTTACCAGTACCATTTATGTATCATTAACATTTGTATTTTTATTACTCTTTCATTCCTACTGTTATATTATTTATTAACAATAGTACTTTTTATTCTTTGCGTCTATTTGTTTAAGCCTTTATTTATTTTATTTTATTTTATTCACTCCACATCACATATATTTTTAAATTGCTCACATCACCTCTTAGAGGTTTGAATACTCTCCTCTTTATTACAGTTGTGTAGTTCATTACTTGTTTGAGAAAGGCCACCTGTTGTTTGTGTTGTTTTGTGCACGTTTTTCTGCTTCCCCGTCTCATTAAGCTTTTTAGTCACATTTCACTGGAATAACTCAAACCAAGCTGTCTTATGCTTGCAGCTGACCCTATGTCTTCGCTATCTTTTTAACTTTATTCTTTAACTTCCTTCTCCAGATTCCCCCTCCCCTTATTTCTATGACCCTATAGGCTGTAGAGTAGAGACATTCTAGTTATATTGTTCCCAGGTTGTCTTAACATATGTTCTATCCAGCACCTGTCTTTTCTTCACCTCTGATTCACAATTTTTTTCCAAAACTCTCTATTGATGTTTTCCTCATACTGTTTAATACCCTCCATTCTGTGCAGGCATACATTACATAGTATAAACATTTTTTTTTTCAGTTACAGCTGCTCCAAATGGAACTACACCTAGGCCTATTATCTGTAAGTATTCTTCTTCTTCTTCTGCCTTTCTTTCCCCCAATGGAGCATAAGCCCTCAACCAACTCACGCCAAGTCGTTCTATCCTTTGCCATTGCATGGAGCTCTCCCCATGTCCTCCCCATCTTTCTGACTTCATTCTCCAGCTCTCTTCTCCATGTGTTTTTTGGCCTACCTTTTTTTCCTATGCCCCTGTGGGTTCCAATGCAAAGACATTCTAGTTATGCTGTTCTCCTGTTTTCTCAGTGTGTGGCCTATGCCAACAATAAGTAAAAAGACCTTTTCCGAATCTTCAGACATATATAGGTGTTTGACCTATATTTTACAGACCAATCGGTGCTCGCTGGTCAACATTTTGATGGCCATCTTTAGTTTCCAGGACTTTAGGATGGGAACCAAGGTCATTTATCCCAGAATAGGTAGTAAATGTTAAAGCTGAGATTAATTGCACCTGTTTTATTCCACATGGCTTCCACACCTATCGAGTGTGACACACAAAGCATGAACACTGTAGCTCTGGCAGTGATCCCCAAGGGTCACCTAAAAATGTAACCGAATGATACCACTATGAAACAAACCCACAGCCTTCAGAGCGCGAAGCAAATTGTTTGACCACTTTGCCACAGAAACCCCTTTGGTAGTCAAAAACTAACATGCATCTCTGCCAAAAGATACAAAGTGTTACAGGTACAAATATACCTTTAAGTCTCAACAGACAGGGAACACCTCCTGCATGAGGTTTTGAGGGATAGCTTGATCAACTGTGCTGTTATCAACTGTCAGCTTTCAACTTTTAACATTATTATTGCAGTATCTTGCTTCATTAGCATATTCAATCAAAATAAAATTATATCACAGCTACACTGTAATTATATTACAGTGCCCCTGTAATTATATCACAGCTGCACTGTAATTATATCACCGCTACACTGTAATTATATCACAGATCTACTGTATTTATATTACAGTGCCCCTGTAATTATATCACAGCTACACTGTAGTTATATCACAGATCTACTGTAATTATATCACAGCTACACTGTAATTATATCACAGCTACACTGTAATTATATCACAGATCTACTGTAATTATATCACAGTGCCCCTGTAATTATATCTTCATTGTAGTATTTAACAGTTCCACAGTAATTCTGTCCCAGCCCTGCTGTAATAGTATGTTTTAGTTTATATATATATAATTGTTTCTGTGCGGAGTCTCAGCCTGACTAGTTATGATCTTTTTGTCTCTCATTTTTAGCCAGAAAAGTATTTGATCAGATCAATATAACAGCTGTAAACAGCACCATGATTAACATCAGCTGGGCGGTGCTCCCAGAAGTCAGTGCCTATCAGTACAATGTGACTGTGACAAGTCAGTTTATTGGAAATGGTGACTGTGATACAAGTGGCAATGGAAGTGACATACATACGGTAAATCTCAGTATGCACTTCTTGTCCTTTCTCTATGTTAGGAGGTCTGCCTTTCTATTCTTCTTCTCCTTCTTCTCTTCCTCCTATGGCTTCTACTTCTTTTTCTCCCCCCTCTTCTACCTTTATCTTCATCTTCTCCTCCTCCGTGTCCTCCTCCTCCATTTCCACCTTATCCTCTTCTTCTCCTTATCTTTCTTCTCCTACATTTCCTCCTCTTTCTCCTCCTCCTCCTTTTTCTCCTTCATCTTCTATTTTTTTCTTAGCCTCCTCTACCTTCTTTTTCTTCTCCTTCTTAATATTTGTATATTTTTTCTTCTTTCAAGGGGACTTCATCATGCCTACTTTTGCAACTGTTAATAGTCTGTGTGAAAAAAATGTAAGCAGGTGTAGTAGACACACAGAATCTGACATTTTCCTTTTATCTTTGTGATAAAGAATGGGCATTTGTTTCACAACTGAAAGATCAAGGAGACTAAAAAATGTTGAATGTTGAATTAAGAACCAACATCAAAGCACTCAGGACACTCCAATAAGCACTCCATCCCCATCTTCAGCAGCAAGTGAAGAGTTCCAATACCAATGGCACCAGTAACTGTCTAACTGCACATCTATCCGGCCTTTTCCTTGAGTGTTGTGTGTTAACCAGACCCCCAGGTAATTCCCTGCAGGGCCATTCTCCTCAGACAGTAATGATCTACCTGTGCCTCCGAACTGTTCACTCTCTCCCAAAAGGCCCTTACAACGTCTAGCTTGTCTTATGTCCTAATTGGCATTTGTTAGTTTCACAGTCATCTTCCTCACTTCTCAATGACCCATTTCCCAGCATGGGTTCTAGGGCCTCATTCTGACAAAAATGGAATAGACTCAAATAACGGCATGTCATAAAAGATGAATAATTAGGGGTTTGCTCAAATCATCTGTGCTAGGACAAAATGTGTGGGTACTGCAGCTTCACTATCAATGACAATACAAAAAATTCCAGCCACCATTTTAATAACAAACACAGAAATAGAAGAAGAATTGATCCATTCATTCTCTTAGTTGTCAGCTCACTTCCTTAGTATATTCTTCAATTTTTTGAAACCGATGAAGTCTGGATATACGAAAACTGACAGAAGTCTTTCTGTGTTAGTTTACTATACTCTTAAATCCCTGACTAGCTCTCTTGTCTGACTATGAGAAATATACATGCTGTGGTTACTATTCATTTATGTTTGCTGATTCAGTCATTACTTAATTATGTTTTTTAAAGCTAGCAATAGATATATCAAAGAAGAACACTTCATCTCTAAGCCATCTGAAAACTGAACATTACTACTTGTGTTTTCTATTGTTGTTTTAAAGAATAACTTTCAAATATATGTTCTGTTTGCATTTGACATTCAATAACTATCTTCATGAACCTAATTAATATGTGATTTGTTACTACATATTTGATGACCACTATTATATTAGTTACATTTATTTTTATTTACCTTTCTGTTCATTCAGTATGGGCCTTACACCATCAGAAGCTCTCCTGTTGCAATAAGTGGCCTGCTAATTTGGAGCACATACAAAGTATCTATCACAGCCATTGCTGTGACAGCAGATATCTGGGAGATATACAACCGTAATGTGACAACTTTGTCAAGCAGTAAGTAGCCAGTGTTAATGTCTAGTCATTATTAAAAGAAGTAAAATTTAAATTAATAGAAAGAAACTGCTTCAGAGTGATGCAGCCAGGGATTTTTTTTTCTGGTGGTACACAGCAATACACAGTACCGGCACCCTTTTGAGCCATTATTTGTTCAGCACTACTGTAATAGATACTTTGTGGTGAGTACAGGACCCCTTTTTTAGACACTTTGTGATAAGTATCAGCACCCCCCCCCCCCCCCCCGAAAACCAAAAAGCTCTAGATACAACAAAATTAGGACATCATAATCATCTTGTAGTTGGGTCTGTGCAGGATGTTGCCCCCATCATAGCCTTGTTGGAAAGACTCTTGGTCTCTTGTCAGTTTCCTCACTCATCCTATTTTCTATGACGTTTCTGGCGTCCTGGGTCCATCCTCTTGCAGGCAAACCCCTCCTTTTCTTTCAGGAACCATGCCTTCCAGTACTCTTATTTCTAAGCCACTATAAGTTATGAGTTGAAAACTAACATCATAGCAATCAGGACATTCTCATATGCGTGCCCTCCCCATCTTCAACAGCAAGTGCAGAATTCCAGTGGTATCAGTAACCGTCTGATTGAATGTCATTCTTACTCTTTTGCTGAGTGCTGAGCATCCACCAGATCCCCCTGGTCATTCCTCGCTGCATCATTCTCTTCTCTTTGAGCCTCCCCACTGTTTACTCACCCCTTAAAAGCCCTTACAGCTTCTAGCTTGTCATCTTACCACCAGAGGTACTCCCCCGTGTGGGTTCCTGGGCCCTATTGTGGGGAAAACAAGAATAGACCCACTGCCTCCCCAAAAGCATGTCGTAAGAGTCGACTAACTGGGGAGCTTCCTTTGAAGTCGGAGTGCATCTGCCTGAGAGGCAAGGAACCAGCAGTCTACATTCAATTGAATCAGATCTGTAAAACTGATGCACACGCAACACTCAGGTTCTGGAGCAGGACTGCAGTCCAGAAGTGGACGAACAACCAGAACTTTACGCCAGAGTGTACAGCTGGTGAACGCGAAAAAGAAGAAGAAGACCACCAGAGGTGCAGAACCAGTCAATCTATCTGCCTGTTCACTTCCCAACACTGACATCCTCTGGAGAAAATATCCAGAAGACGCTAACTAAATTGTGTATTTAAGCTAGTATACTGATTAAAATGACCAATGTTTTCCAATATTCAAGACCTGTTTCAGTTTACAAGCCAGTTTTCTTTTACGATTCAAATATTTTAGACTGTTAGTATTTATAAATAAGACACACATTTCATCCTTTTTTGTTTAGTTCTTTGTTTTGTTTATTATGACAGATACATAATTGTATGTGTGTGGCAGGTTAGTTACCCCATCCCCCCCCTCCCCCCGGCCCCATGCCATATAATCTTCTTCTTTTATAGTTTCACTGATACCAGGTTGTAGTCTAGTGTCTTGGTTTTCTGTATTTGTCTTGCACTTCTCGGGTGGCTTGGGTGAGAGATTTGTTCATTCTTTTTTTGCAGGTTTCAACGACACCATTTGTTTGCATCTTTCTTGGTCTTCCTCTCCCCTTCCTCCCACATGTTCTGCTGTAAAAAGTCACATATGCAGTTTGGTCTTCTTCTTCTTCTTGTTCACCGGCTGTGAATTCCGGCGGTAAGTCACGGTTGTTCGTCCAAAATGGACTTTTGGCTTTTACCTTGACCTGAGTTTTGCGTGTACATCCGTTTTACTGGCTTATTTGTTTGCAGTACTCGTTTCCCGCCTCTCCGGCAGATGTACTCCGACTTCGGAGGAAGACGTCAAGCCTATTTCTAGGTTGACTGTGGCCATTGTTTTGTGTGGGTCGAGATGTTGCCTTATTTGTGTGGTGTCCTCTTTGACTTTTAACAAGTGTGGCGCCCGGCATGTCGTCCTTAAAGCAGCTCTATGTAGAGTTTTCAGCCCTCAAGGGAAGGCAGGGGCAGATCATGGGCATTTCCCGCCATCCAAGGAGGCTTCCATAAATGCAGAGCCGACACATGATGCTCTGGTTCTGGGCTCACCCAAGGAATCGTCACGTCCTGCCCGCGACTGCTTAACCTCACAACCGTGTATTGAGCTTCCCGCGCTACAAGGCTGCGCTCTCCGGAGATCAGCGGGGAGCAGCCCGCAGGTCTAGGACGTTTGTGGCCCCACAAATAGGTACATTCTTTTTCATCTTACGTTAGACACCTTTAACGTTGTTTCAGCTGTGCCTTTGGCACGACAGAATGGGGAGGCAAAATGCGTCAGGTGTGGCTTCACCTGTTTGGTCCCAACACTCGGGCGAGTTGGACCAGTGGATACGGACATTCAGACTTTTCCTAATCGGTACGAGTTATGATCGTCGGACTTTGAGCTTGCATGTGTGCCGCGGGGTGTAGCGTTGACGGACATTGTTTTCAAGCCAGCAAATGTATAGTTGCTGCCATGGTGTATCTCAGCGCGGTTATGACGACACTGAGGATTGACAGAGGATGTACGTAGGTGGGATCTTGCTGCTAGAAGTCGCCCACAAGAGATGTTACTCGTCTTGGCTGCGGGTAAATCTCTCTGTCAGGGTTGAGTCTCAGCAGCACAGTTTTCCATTCGCTCCCAAATTTTAACCAAGAGTTGTCATTTGATGGTACATTTAGCAAGCAGTCCTTGAGTTTTGTTACTTTTCACCCATGCGTTTGGGGGCGGGCTGGTGAGAGCCAGAAAGGACTCTACACCTCTAGGGGCCGCCAGCTCCGAGATCCCCTGCCAGCTCTGTTAATGCTCATTTGAGACATTATCCATGGCACACGACGGGGACGTGCAACAGGAGTCTTGCATGAGGTTCCGTAAAACCAGAACAGTGAAGGACTGGCGCCCGAGTGGGGTACGGAATATCTCCTTATACACATCACATCAGACTTAACTTCCCCTCATGCCTGTGACCGAAATCACCGCGCCACCAGTTTGGTCTGGCTGCATTCTCATTAGATGGCCGAACAATTTCATTCTTTGTCTGTCAGTATAATCCAGACAATGTCTTATTCCAGCTTTCTAATGCTGGTATTCATAACCCTGTCTCATCTGGTGTTGTTAGTGACCTTGTAGAGACAGCGAATTTCACATGAAGTTATTTTCTATTCTTGGGCCCTATTCATTGCCATATAATTACAGTTTCAAAGTGCAAGAACTTTAGAACACTGTTAAAACATAAAGTCACAGCATGGATTTTCCAATAATGTAAAATGACTTCAGCTGAGCTGCGTAAATGTTCCATCATGCACATGCTCTAGTTAAGAAATGCTCAACATTTATTATTAATCTTTGTCATTATTCTCCATACAACAGTATTGGGTAAACAGTTGAGCTAAGTAGCCATTGAATTACCTTTAACTTTTACTTGGATTAAATAAGATTGCTGAAACAAATAACATCATCACATTTGTTTTTGATCCTTGCAGTGACATAAATGAAGTAAAAGTGAAAATGAAGTAAGAAAATAAAAAGGGAGAAATAACTACTGTGTATATGGATATACATCGGCTCTGTGGCTAAGTCCATGCGAACGCTTCATAATGCCGGGATACCGGGTTCGATCCCAGCCACGGGTCATGCACCTTGCATTGGTTTCGACAGTGGTATCAAGTGGCAAACTACTGGACGTAAGTTTGCCTAGAAAAACCGCACAACAGCCAGGGGCTGTTAGGGTTGGTTCTGCAACGTCGTGTAAAGGATACGCAACTAACCTATACAGATATTTTCTCCAGGTTATGCCGGTGTGTTGGGGAATGAACAGGCAGATACAAGTTAGATATTGTGAGGGCCCTTTGGGAACGATTGAACAATGTGGAGGGGCAGATAGATCATTACGGTCTAAGGAGAATGGCACTACAAGGAGTTACCAGGGGATCTGGCTGACGCTCAACACTCGGAGGAAGTAATAGACGGATATACAATCAGTTGGTTACTGGTACCATCAGAATTTGAACTCTTGGCTTGCTGCTAAAGATAGGGACTGAGCACTTATGGGAGTGTCCCAAGTGCTGTGATGTCAATTCTTAATTCAACATTCAACAACATTCAGATACTTAATGTCTTAAGTGGTCTGCTAAAATAGATTTAATATGTCACACATTTCTCTTTTGAAAAGAATTGTTGTCTGTGTTTTCTTTTTTTGTCTGTTTTTTTTTTCTTTCTTGTAGCCCCTGTAGGTGCAGTTACAGATCTGAAAATTGAAAGGCTTACATCTACAGAGGTTGAAGTGTCATGGAAGCCTGTACTTTGTGATCAGAGAAAGGGTAAAATCCTGTTGTGTTCTTCTTCTTCTTCGCTTTCACTGTCTGTAAATTCTGGTGGAAATTTCTGGCTGTTTGTCCACTTCTGGAATTAAGTCTTGTTCCAGAACTTGAGTCTTATCTGTAAATCCGTTAAACAGATCTGACTTAACTGTATGCAGACTGTTGGTTCCTTGCCTCTCAGGCAGATGCACTCCAACTTCAAAGCTCCCAGTTAGTCGACTCTTATGACATGCTTGTTGGGGAGGCAGTGGGTCTATTCTTGTTTTCCTCCCCCTACAATGAGGCCCCAAAACCCACATGGTGTATAGTGTTTGTGTGTGCGTGTGTGTGTGTGTGTGTGTGTGTGTGTGTGTGTGTGCACATGTGAATATTATACAAAGTATTGTATCAAAAACATAACATTTTTAGATTATTTGAAATAGCACAGAAGTCAGGAAATAGACCATTTCATAAGTGTGCCTAACTCTTTATATCTAAAGCAACACACCATGTATAGTTTTTGCTTTTTTGTTTGAGTCCAGAATCCCTTCAGAGTTCCCGGGTAGTTAGCAGCCTTTGGATGTTTTCTCCAGGTCATGCTGGTGTGTCAGGAAAGGAGCTGGCAGATAGACTGGCTGGTTCTGCACCACATGGTGGTGAATTGATGTATGACAAGCTAGATTTTGTAAGGGCCCTGTGGTGGCGAGGAAACAGAGTGGAAACACAGATAGATCATTACGGTCTGAGGAGAATGGTGCTGCGAGGAGTTACCAGGAGAAATTATCACAGTCTGGAGAGAATGAATCAATCACGTGATCAGATGATCCAGCTGAGACTCAACATTCAGAGGAAAGTTGACATGGACATAGCAACTGCTATTGGTACGATGAGAATTAGAACTATGTGCTCACTACTGCAGATAGAGATGAAGCACTTATGGGAATTTCCTGAGTGCTGTAACATAGGGTCTTAGCTAAAGTGCTAGAAGTTTATATACCAAGACTGCATTCACAAGAATACCACAATTATAAGTGTATTAGTTGAACTTTATCCGAATGCTTTGTCATTGAATAAAATAAAAATGCTACCAGATTTCTGTAGTATTTCCTGTTCAAACAAAAGTGTTGAATGTTGAATTAAGAATCAACATCATAGCACTCAGGACGTTTCCATAAGTATTCCTTCCCCATCTTCAGCAGCAAGCTCAGAGTTCCCATTCCCATGGTACCAGTAACTGTCTGACTGTAACCTTGTCACCCTTCCCTTGAGTGTTGAGCATTGGCCAGATCCCCTGTCTCTCCTCTCAGCACCACTCTCCTCAGACCGTGATATCTTTTTGTAACTCCAAACTGTTTACTTGCTCCCAGAGGACCCTTTCAACATCTAACTTGTCCATCAATTTACTACCAAGTAGCGGAGAATCAACCGATCCCTCTGCCTGTTTGTTTCTCAGCACACCAGCATTCTGGAGAAAATATCCAATATCTGTTACTCAGAGTATTATTTGTTTAGGTCTGGAGAGTTTTAAACAATAACACTTCGGGACAAAAGACAATGAAGCAGCAGTTAGTACAGAATAGATTAAAGCTACAGCTGAGCCAGCCAGACCCTCTGGTTACACCCAGGTGACTCATTCTCTCCAGGCGACAAATTATTTGCTTAGGGTTATCATGGCCATCGGGCAATCAGAGTGATTGTGTAGGATAGAACAGAATGGAAGAATAGACTACAAGCCCTACATGACAACAGGATAGCCAATTAGTAAATGAAGATTTGCTTCTAAGGTAAAGGAAATTAGAGACAAAGATGGGGATGATATGGTGGGGGTGAAAAGGGGGGGGGGGAAGAGCAGCATGTGACGGCATAAAGACCCATCTAAAATAAAAGTATTATTTTTTCAGATTTCTTTAAAATAAGCCCTACCTTAAACATAAGCCCTAGTTAGGATCATCATATTTAAGGTGTCATGTATAAGGTGTCCAGAAAAGCAAACCATGCTAGCAAATCCATTAAACACATCAGGAGTTGCTGGGTACATGTTTAGACCAGTTAGAAACTCTCTGGGTGATGCAAATATCTTACTGGCTGCCTTTACTTACTATCACATTTCCTGGTACCTTTGTGGGCTTGGTCAGCCGGGGAGACTAGGTGACTTTTCAATATTTTCATACTTTATGAAGACCAGTTTACATGTCACAGATTTTTTATTTTTTTTTATTTTTCTTTCTCATAACTAATTACAGTTCACTTTATTATGCATATTATTTCTTGCTAATTCTCTCTCTCTCTCTCTCTCTCTCTCTCTCTCTCTCTCTCTCTCTCTCTCTCTCTCTCTCTCTCTCTCTCTGTCACACTCATTCTCTCCCTGTCTCTCACTCACACTCACTCTTTCTCTCACTCTCTGTCTTTCTGTCTGTATGTCTGTCTGTCTGTCACTCTCTCTCTCTCTCTCTCTCTCTCTCTCTCTCTCTCTCTCTCTCTCACTCTCTCTCTCTCTCTTCCCTCTCACTCTCTCTGTGTTTGTATGTGTTTTAAACTACCATTTTATCAGTTCACTAATTTCATTTCTGTCATGTGCCCTGCCCTCACAGAACTGCTACTATCTGTCTGTCTGTCTGTCTTACTTATCTATACTATATTTTGTTAATATTTCTATTTCAATTATTTTTTTTTTGGGGGTTTCATTCTCATTCATATTTGTGATATTGTATATTCCTGTAATTTGCACATGAAAGCTCTTTAGCCAAAACCTTCACTTGTTATGTGTCTTTGTGATAGTATGAACCTGCCTGATTTGTTTCATATGGTTTGATATAATTTCATATTATCTTTCCATATAAGGTCCTCTTGCTGCCTATGATGTACAACTGTCAGTAGTCCTTGCCAACGGCTCTAGTTCTAACCAAACTATAACCAACACACAAGAAACCAGACAGCAGTTGACAAGCCTCATCCCTTATACACACTATACAGTTCAGATTTACTACAGAAATAATGTTCAAGCAGGCCCTTCTAGCCAGCCCTTCAATTTTACCACATTAGAAGGAGGTAAGTTGCATGTACAACCTTTGTGAACTCTTTCACCCCCCAGGTAGTTGTTGCTACAATAATTTCAGTCTCATACGATCTTTAAATTCATCATCATCAGGTGCCTTGCACATTGCCATGCCTCTCCACAACCTGCAATCTGCAACAGCATTCGTCATTTCATGTGAAGACACCCCTCCATGCAATGTCAAAAGATAGGCAAGAGTCCTGTCACACTGTCTTCTTCTATCTTTCATTTCACAAATCTTTCCAGCAGTCACACCATGTTCCAGTTTCCCTTTTTCTCATAACACGGCAGAAAACTGATGGCTCCTCTCTTTCTGATGTTTGAGATGTGTTGTCTTACATGTTGTATATTAGAGTACAGATTCCCTGATTTTGGATCCGGATCCCCACTGAAAGGTGGTAAGATGAAGATGAATAGACCCCCCCCCCCCCTCCTTCCTGCCCCCACTTCCAACCATGTTAATAATAGTCTCTAATTAAGGGTTTGCTGAAATCAGATGTGTTGAGCCTAAATGTGTAGATATCCCAGCTCTGCTGTGTACCACAACACAACATACCAAACACCCTTTCAAGAACAAATGCAGAAGAAGAAGAAGAGCGAAGGAGGAAAAAGAAAGAAGGAAGACGGAGGGAGGAAGAAGAAAAGAAAAGAAGAAGTAGAAGGAGGAGGAAGCAAGAAAAAAGGAGGAAACAAGAAGCACAAAAAACAAACAAAAAGAGTGCAAATCTTAGAGCTATGGTTTAAAACACTATGACTATGTGATAGGGCTATAGTTAAAGAAAGTTAAAGTTACAACTGAAACTAAATAAAATAATAGAAGCATGTAAGAAGAACATTATAAACAACAATAAGAAGGAGATAAATAAAGTTCTTTGATCATGTAATGAGAAAAGGAGCACTGAAAAATATCGTACCAACTGGAAAGATCACTGGTAGAAGAGGCTGAGGCAGACAGAGAGACATGATGGTGGATGGCTTAAGACAGTGGCATGGAGAAATATCATCAGTGGAATTAATCCAGAACACCAAAGACCGAGATCTGTGGCAACACATGAAAGCCTACCCCAGCTGGCAAGGCGCTTGATGATTATGATAATAGAAGAGAGGACAGGACAAAAATAAGTTTAAAAATATAGTTGAATTATAGGCAAATCAGTGGGCAGGTAGTAAATTGTCTGCTGCAGAAATAGTTCATAAACATTGCCAAATAGAAATTCTATGACAATCTGTAAAGATCTTTTACAAATATTTAAAGTTTGAAAACAGTTTTTGTCTGGATACTGGTTTTATTACCCACCAGATGCCAATTGGTTTATAAAATATAGGTCTAGCCCTATATGCACAAACTCCTCAAGGCGTGGAAAAGGGTCTTTTACTTTTCTTTTCTTACCCATTATTATTTTTTTTACCAGATAAATGATTGCACAGTTTATCACCTAGCATATTTCCACTCATTGAATGTATACTCATCACCATCATCATGTAGCGGGTCCTTTGCAGAACGTCGCTCTCATCACGGCCTACCTGAAAGAAACTAGGTCTCTTGCCAGCTGTCCCACCTTATATACTTTCATACTCAAGGAGTGAATGTATACTACAGTAATAAATAAGATAAAGTACAACACACTGCACTCAAATACAGCTGTCTTTCCTGTGTGAGTTCTGGGGCCCCATTGTGTGGACAACAAAAATAGACTCACTCCCTATCTAAAAAGCATGTCATAGGAGTTGACTAACTGAGAGCTTCCTTCAAAGCTGGAGTGCATCTGCCCGAGTTGCAGGAACAACAATCTGCACTCAAAAAAGCCAGTATACCGGAAGTAACATGCTTAACTCAGGCCCTGGCACAAAGCCAAAGTCCAGATGGACAAACAACCAGAACTTTCCACCAGAGCTTGCAGCAGGTGAACTAAGAAAGAGGAAAGAAAGGAAAATACAGCTGTCTATGTGTACAGTGGATATATATCTGTCAATAATCTGCGCAATCTGCTATTTGTGTCTTCTTTGTTCAAATTTACAACATTTAAACATTTAAAATGTGTGTAAAATCCACATGTTTAAACCCTGTGAGTAAGCTGCTGTGGTATAGCTGCTAGGCACTTGCCTCGGGCTTGAAGGTCATGGGTTCAGATCTGCATTAAGCCAGATTTTTTTCAAACAATGATCTTTTTATCTTCCTAGTTTTCGCAGCCTAAATGGGTACCAGGTAAAGTCCTGAGAAGTAAAGGTGGCCGGCGTGATGTTGACCACATCGCCCACTGAGTACCGATGGATTTATAAATTATAGGTCTAGCACCATGTGCCCAATATGCCTTCAGGCATAGAAATAGGTCCTGTACTTTTACTTAAACACTATAAGGTGAATCAAATTTGCTTCAATGAGGGGCAGAAATCTGTACCACTGATCTCAGTAGTACAGTTGTAAGTATTCCTTCTGTCACTCGGGTGACCAGAGATCGATTCCCTGCCAGGTGATAATTAAATCTTCACAGATGGGTCCATTATACGAGGACATAAGAGTGCATGGGCATTTGCAGCTTGCTGTTCAGGCAGAAGAGTTCAAGACGCCAGCGGTGTCTTCTCCATGACTATCAGCAGCATGATGATGGAGGTAATGGTGGTGACACTAGCTTTCAAAGGGCTAGAATCACAAGACTATTCCTGCACGTGTGTTTGCTGAGTGATTCTTTGAGCATGATCCGGCGGGTCGAGGAGGGCTGCTTACGCAGACAGTGGCTTGAGTCACTGCAAAAATCTCCTGTGTGTGCAGTTACCATCATATTCGTCTTAGGTCATGTAGGTGTTGTTGGTAATGAAAGAGCTGATAGACTGGCAGGTGCTGCATTAATTGAAAATGGCCGGCCCTTGGACCACGCAGACATTGTCATTGCTCTTAGAGAATTAGGACGTTCTGAGTATTTTGGAATCAAATTGTCCACATCACTGCTAAGAATACGAGAATTGGGACTAAAGATTGGCACAGCCAAGTATGAGAAGCACACCGGATGCACACAAAGTCTTGTTAATCAACATAGGACTGGCACTGTTAACCGCCTGAGTGCCTATGGATGTGTCTGGAGTGCTGTGAAGATAATCCAACTCATAACGCATTACATATCCCCATTTAATAAAATATAAACAAAGTTACAGATTATATTCCTGTTCTAATTGCAGCTCCTGGACCAGTTGAAATCACACAACTCATACCAACATCTTCAACAGTCACAGTTAGTTTTCAGTCTCCATCACAACCAAATGGTGTTGTGACAAGCTACAGTGCCACCTATGCTGAAAGTAGTAGTTTCAGTGTGTCTTTGTCTGTGACAGTTGTAGCAGTACAAAATAGAAGTGGAAGTTTCAACATTACTGTTGACAGACTAAAACCAGAGACACTTTATTACTTTAAGGTATAAATAATACCACTTTGTTGTTGTTGCTGTTCCCATTGCTATTGTTGTTGTTGATGTTTGAACCCTATTGTTTCATGTGTTTACTACAGAGTAACTCATAACTTACATGGGAGACACACTGAAGTCTATGAATGATAGCTATGCCAATTTTTTTTATAGACAGCAAGTTTAGATTTAGATTTATGTATTTTCTAAATGTTATTATTCCACATATGGTACTGCGGCCTCACTGGAAAATGGGGGGGGGGGGGGGGGGGTGATGAAGATAGACCAACTGCCCATAAAAGCATGTGGCAAACGTCAACTAAATGTTAGTGTTTCCTGTGAAGTTGGGAGTGCATCTGTCTGACAGGGAAGGAACCAACAGTCTGCATACAAATAAGCCAGATCAGTAAGACAAATGTACACACAAAACTCAAGTTCTGGAACAAGACTAAAGTCCAGTAGTGGATAAACAGCTAGAACTTTCCACTGGAATTTAGAGTCAGTGAACACAAAGAAATGGAAGAAAAATTGTTACTATATCCACAGTGTCTTCTAACCTCTCTTTCCTTTACTTTTATAAGTATTGCCCAATACCGATTAATTCATTCTGTTAAGTCGTTTCATAAAGGAATTAGTTAATTAAGTTGATTCCTTATCAGATCGTCTTCCCAGGCAATTTCTAGGAAAATATTCCAGTACTTGACATCGAAGCTCAGGTCACTGATAACAACCTGTCACAATGGAATTTTGTTTCTGCTTTTTCTTTTTCTTAGCGTTCACCAGCTATAAACTCTAAAGGGATGTTTTGGTTTTCCGTCCACTTCTGGCACTTAGTCTTGCTCCACAACTTGAGGTTTGTGTGCACATCACTTTTACAGATCTGGCTTTAATGTATGCAGACTCTTAGTTCTTTACCTCTTAGGTGAATGCACTCTGACTTTGAATGAAATGCCCTAATTTAGTCACCATTTACAGCATGCTTGTTTGAGATTTCTATTCCTTTTTTTGGTGTGCTTTTTTTTTCTGGTTCTGTAAACAGATAAGGCCATGGAACACACATGGGAGATGATGGAATTTAAGCCAAGAATTTTGGGTTGGCAGGCAATGCATTGAGCCATTGCACTACTGCAACTATAGCCCAGTATCTAACTGTGTGGATGCCTTCATATTTTTATACCCTGATTTTGCTGAATATATACCTTCTTTGTCTCTTTGTCTGCATGAATTTTTTTCAGCATTACCAACCCATTTTAAACTATTAGATGTCATAATGACAATGAACTTACATTTAGATATTTGCACTTCCTTCCTTCCTTCCTTCCTTCCTTCCTTCCTTCCTTCCTTCCTTCCTTCCTTCCTTCCTTCCTTCCTTCCTTCCTTCCTTCCTTCCTTCCTTCCTTCCTTCCTTCCTTCCTTCCTTCCTTCCTTCCTTCCTTCCTTCCTTCCTTCCTTCCTTCCTTCCTTCCTTTCCTTCCTTCCTTCCTTCCTTCCTTCCTTCCTTCCTTCCTTCCTTCCTTCCTTCCTTCCTTCCTTCCTTCCTTCCTTCCTTCCTTCCTTCCTTCCTTCCTTCCTTCCTTCCTTCCTTCCTTCCTTCCTTCCTTCCTTCCTTCCTTCCTTCCTTCCTTCCTTCCTTCCTTCCTTCCTTCCTTCCTTCCTTCCTTCCTTCCTTCCTTCCTTCCTTCCTTCCTTCCTTCCTTCCTTCCTTCCTTCCTCCCTCCCTCCCTCCCTTCCTCCCTCCCTCCCTCCCTCCCTCCCTCCCTCCCTCCCTCCCTCCCTCCCTCCCTCCCTCCCATCCCTCCCTCCCTCCCTCCCTGCCTGCCTGCCTGCCTGCCTGCCTGCCTGCCTGCCTTCCTTCCTTCCTTCCTTCCTTCCTTCCTTCCTTCCTTCCTTCCTTCATTTTCTCTGCTTTGTCCTTCCTCTGGGCTGCTAGCTGTTGGTCTGACCACCATGAGATTACAAAAATCTCTTTCTGGATGGCAAACCAACATGGGAAATCCCTTCTTCTTCTTCTTATCTTCCACCTTGTACCTCAGCGAAGTGTCGGGGGGAGATGTAATGTTCGTTGATGAGCGCTGTCAAGAGCACTATTAAGACTGATGTTCATTTATGTAAGGCTGTTCTTAATGCCATCACTCCATCTTTTCTGAGATCTTCCACTCGCTCTATACCCGTTGTAATGTTTCAGCCTGGCTCGCTGTGGCAGATAGTACCAGAGCATTCTTGTTAGGTGTCCAAACCACTTCATTTGTTGTTCTTTGATTACCTGTAAGACTGGCTTTATTCCTAGTATTCGTCTGATTTCATAATAATGTATTCTGTCTTTCCTTGAAACTCCTGCAGCTCTTCTAAGGCATTTCATCTCTGTTGTCACAATTTTACATTCATTGGAGGATGTAAGTGTCCACATTTGGCATTGATAGCATAGTGTTGGCCAAAAAATAGTTCTGATAAGATTCACTTTAGCACTCTGAGGTATCTGCTTGTGTGTCAACAGGGGAGATAGTTGACCCATTTCTCCATTAATTCTAACACTTGTTCTTCTTTATTGCCCCATCCACAAAAATTGATTGTCCCTACCCTGGTCTTAACCTTCTGCTGGCCACTATTTTCTCTATTTCTAAAACATCTCCTATTTTCATCTTGGGCATTTCTTTTTTAAACCGCTGAATCCTCCGCCGACTTGCCGGGCTTGTCTCAAATTCATCTTCAACTGAACAAACTACACCAATCTAACACATTTAACATTCTTTCCAGGAATAAACACATCTTTTAGTCACAATTTTCGGTGAACGCTATCTTGGCCAGGAAATCCCAGACACATTAAATCCTAGATACCCTATTGAATCTTAAAAAAGAGATATATTTATGGCATCCATGGTGGCTACCAGTCTGGTGTAACTTGCATTCCTGTGTGGCTAAGGAGTGTGCATTGTTGCTGATATTTCCATTAGGTGGTGGTGATCATTGTTGCCCACCAGGATTGCTGTTTGTAGGATTAACATCTCAAGGATGAGAATCAAACTGGAGCAATTCCTAAAAACCACAGGAAGCTTCATAACACAGTTATATTAGGACACCCCTATGTTTACTAAGTAACCTGTGGTCCAGTGTGGCAGTCTTCTTTCTTTTTCACATTCACCGGCTGTAAACTCCAGCGGAAAGTTTTGGTTGTTTGTCCACCTCTGGTCTTTAGTCTTCTTCCAGAATCTGAGTGTTGCATCTACATCCATTTTACAGATCTGACTTTTCTGTGTGTGCAGATTGTTGGTTCCTTGCATACCATGCAGATTTACTCTGACTTTGAATGAAGCACCAAATTAGCCGACTCTTACGACATGCTTATTGGCGAGGCAGTGTGTCTGTTCTTGTTTTCTCTACAATAGGGCCCTCGAACTCACACAAGGAAATATGGTAGTAATGGATATATTCATTAATGTATTTTTTTTCCCTATTCTACAGATATTGATATTGGCAAACTACTGGACATAAATTTGCCTAGAAAAACCACACAACGGCCAGGGGCTGTTGGGGTTGGCTCTGCAATATCCTGTAAAGTATACGCAACTAACCTTTAACAGATATCAATAATTGCAAAAATACTAGACAGGCTTGAAAATAATTAAATATTGAATTAATAAAAACACTGGTCAGAAATTTGTGGATGTATTAAATAAAGTAAAAACCACTCTTTACAAGGTGGCTGCAAGTACTTCGAGAGGCATTGGGGCCTATGGAACAGTCAAGCAAGTACAGACTTTGAAGGCTCCATCTTCTAGTGATGTCATAGTTGTGTCCCTTATATCCCGAACAAACAGTTGTCTAACTATAGGATGGAACCCACCAGATAGATTTGCAGCCAATATTACATCTTATGTGGTAAGTCTTGAGTTGCAGCTGTAAATTTCATAAACATATTTAGATTTTTAAAATGTACTAAAGCACCTGCAGTGGTTTTAAACACACTGTTGACTTATTTTTGCAATAATTTATTCTGAACAAAAGAACAACACTTTCAGTGTAATAGTTTTCAAACTATTCCCATCACATAGAAGGCTACCTTTCTCTACCAAGGCAAATGTAATAACTGTTTTGTGCCAACTTTGTGGTACCAGCTATGCACATCTGCTGTGTTATATTGTAGAAGAGCTGAAGAGATCAAATTTAAACTGCCAAAAACTGCCTTTATTACCACTTTTGCGGTGTAGGCAGGGGGGTTTTTGAGCGTGAGGTTATACAGCCGCATGGCTAATGCTATTGCCACGACTGTGCAGGTGAGGATTTTATTTTGCCCCGGACAGAACAAAATCCCCAGCCTTACCAAGGATGCGATTCCGGGTCTCCCGCTTGAGAGCCCAGCGTTTCAACTGTTCGGCCAGCCCCTCCACTTCAGCTAGCCACTGCTCGAATAAAAATTAAAAATGAACTAATTAAAATAAGATTAAAACTGAAACTAGTTATACACTTCATAAAAAAAGTAATATATAGGATCATTTGGCCATCTGACAAGGAAGACACAGCTCTATATGTGCTGCCACAGAGAGCCATGCTGAAAAAAATAAAAATTAACACAGAACAAGAGGAATACCAGGCAAATATGGAATGAAAGGGTTAAGAACAATCTCAAAGATCAGCTTATGCAACAAATTAGAAAGAGAACACAGAAGATCTGTACAAATTGTCACAACACCTCAGAGAGGTAACTGGAGGAAGAGACGAAGGAGGAGAAGAAGAAGAAAGAAGGGAAGAATTAAAGGAGGAGAAGGAAGAAGAAAAAGAAAAACATGAAGAAGAAGAAGAAGACGCTGTCACACGCATAACTTATATACACATATGGTTTGATATTTTCATAACAAAAATGACCCTAATTATTACAAGTGTTAATATTCATATGTGGGCCCTATACCCTCTTTGCTACATATAGATTGTACTGACATAAGTAAAAGTAAAAAAAAAAAAATAGTGTAATGGGTATAGAGTGCTAAACCTTTATATAAAGGTAAAGGTAAAGTCAAGAGATGTGAACCAGCTTCATTGCGCACGGTTATAAACCATAAGTGCTCTGCCATCAGTGCAGACAATGGATAAGAAACTGTCCACCTGTGTCGTCGTCCGCACAAACTCTGTAGCTACAGTGACATTCCTCCATTTACCCCAGAGTGTCAACTCTGGTACCAATTTCCTAGAGGCTGGGTGAACTTTGGGAACTGTTTGGTTTCGAACACCGGCCGTGGGCTGCAGCTAGTCGCAGCTGAATTTTAAAGCGAGTCTCGTATCGACTGAGCTAATGCGGCCCCCTAGAGAAAAAAAAACTTTATATGTTTAGACCAATTGGCACTGGGTGAGTGATGTGGTCAACATCATCCCGGCCATCTTTACTTCCCATGACTTTATCTGGTACCAATTTAATGCTGGGCCGACCTGGAAACCAAGGTGACTTCTGAAAGAAAAAAAATGTCTATGAAGATTTGAACCCTATGACCGGATCTGCAGGTGAGCATCTCACTGCGACACCACAACAGCTTGCCGTTCCTTAGTATTACTAATAGTAATTTATTCCTGCATGATGCTGACCACATCACCCACCAAGTGCTGATTGGTCTATAAAATTAGGTCTAGCCCTATATTCCCAAAATGCATAAAGGCGTGGAAAAGGGACCTTACTTTTTGATAGTAATTAATTTCTTCTGACGTCTGTTCTAAAGAATATCTTTGCTGGTGTTTTAGTGCTGATATTTCAAAGCTTGTACAAATTGTTAACTTGGAGTTTCAAATGAATTATTTTTGCAACATATTGTGTACATATTTAATGACTTGTTTATATTAAAACTGTTAATTACATTTTTTCTCGTGGAAGACCAAGGGAAACCCTACGTAGAACTATCATCAGAGAAGGCTCGCTCATGGGCCACTCAAACATCCAAGACCTACAACAGATTGCAGCGAACCGCCATGCATGGAGAGTCATGACCTCTGCCCTATGTGCCGCACTCGACACAAGAGGAAAGACTAACTAACTAATTACATTTTTAAAGTTAACAATGCATTCCTTATTTCTAGTTCATGTTCTATTTTGCAATCATCCAGCTGGAGATAAGGAGGCTCTCTGCCGACACCACCACCCCACCATTCAGAGCTGAGATCCCAAAGTCTCAGGAGTCATATCAGATGTGTGAACTCAAATCTAGCACTCTGTACAGAGTGAATGTCTCTGGGATCAGTGCTAGTGGAGTCATTTCAACTTCAACAGAAGATTTTAGCACAGGTAAAATATCTTTCGTTTCTGTCTAGCATTTGAATGAAAGGTTAAAGGACCCTGTTAATGTCATTGGTGCATAGGGCATATTTTTCTAGATCTATATTTGTATAGACCAATTCATCATCATCATCATCATCATCAACAACAACAGCATCATCATCAACATCAGTCAGCAGGTCTTGTACAGGATGTCTCTCTCTCTTGTCACGGCCCGCCTGAAAGTCTCTCTTTCTCTAGCCACTTTGGCTATGTGCTTTCTTAGCTTTTATCTTCAGTGTCCTCTGTGGAGGTCTGTGTCTACCTCATTTTACAGAAACACTCTCCATCACCATCCTCTCCATAACACTTAAGATGGCCAAAACATCACAGCTTTTAGGACAGGATGCTGTTTATGAGTCAGTTATCCATGATGTTCAGATCCTGTAGGATGTCGATATTTTTATTCTTCTTGGTCCACGGTTTTCTAAGAATTTTTTAATGGGGGGGGGGGGGGGGATTTTAGAACTCTGCGCTGGCTGCTGAAGATGACGGATTCTTGACTCAGCTAAACTAAACTCAGATAGATGTTCTCAGGGGACCTCAGCTCAGTCAATAGAAGACTTGCTTTCAAATCCAGCTGTGACTCTATGCAGCCCATGGCCGGTGTTCGAAACCTGGTGGTTCCTGGGGTTCACCCAGCCTCTAGGAAATGGTTACCACAGTTGCATTCGACGGCTATAAACCCCAACAGAAAGACCTGGCTGCTCATCCATTCCTGGACTTTGGCTTTGCTCCAAGACCTGAGTTTTGCTTGTGCATCTGTTTGATAGATCTTGCTTATTTGTATCCAGACTGTTGGTTCCTTGTCTCCCAGGCAGATGCACCTCGGGGGGGGGGTTGATTTTCACTAAATTGTAAACGTAAAAGAGAATATTATGTTTTGGAGGGAAATCTGCAAACGAAGATGCTCTTACACTTGGGACAGAAAAGACCAGGCAACACTTGATGGATGATGTGGTCAGACATCATGCTAAGTGCTTTTACTCCCAAGAACAATATCCAGTACCCATTTTAGGCTAGATCTATTATACAAGAAAAAAGTTGTTGTTTCTTTCAGTTCATGGAATACCACCTACTCCTGTAACACCGGTGTTTGTCAGATCAAATTACACCAACATTACGATTGCTATAGAGCCGGTTATCTCCACTGATGTACCAATCACAGCCTACCAGATACAGGCTTATCTGGTTCCGGCCGATGGAAGAAAGAAGTGAGTATACTTTCTATGTTCATTTGGGGCTTGTGATTATTTTATTTTACAGTTAGAGAAGAAGAAGAAGAGTATATTATTTTACAGTTTGTAGCGTACCCTTTAGGGACATTGCAGAACCAACCCCTGCATTTCTGGGCTGTTGTGGTTTTTATAGGCACATTGTACATTCAGTAGTTTGTCATTGCTTTCTCAATGTTCAGCTCTTGGTACCACTGTAGAAACTAATGCAAGACACACCGTCCACAGCTGGGATCGAACCGGGCACCCTGACATTATGAAGCGTGTTCACAACACCTAAGTCACAGAAAAAGAGATTAATGTTTGTTGGAAATATGGGTTGAGTTGAGAACCAACATCACAGCACTTGGGACATTTTCATAAGATCTCTTTTCCCATTGTGAACAGCATTCCCATAGGTTCTTTTTCCCTCATTGTAAACAGCATTCCCATAGGTTCTTTTTCCCTCATTGTAAACAGCATTCCCATAGGTTCTTTTTCCCTCATTGTAAACAGCATTCCCATAGGTTCTTTTTCCCTCATTGTAAACAGCATTCCCATAGGTTCTTTTTCCCTCATTGTAAACAGCATTCCCATAGGTTCTTTTTCCCTCATTGTAAACAGCATTCCCATAGGTTCTTTTTCCCTCATTGTAAACAGCATTCCCATAGGTTCTTTTTCCCTCATTGTAAACAGCATTCCCATAGGTTCTTTTTCCCTCATTGTAAACAGCATTCCCATAGGTTCTTTTTCCCTCATTGTAAACAGCATTCCCATAGGTTCTTTTTCCCTCATTGTAAACAGCATTCCCATAGGTTCTTTTTCCCTCATTGTAAACAGCATTCCCATAGGTTCTTTTTCCCTCATTGTAAACAGCATTCCCATAGGTTCTTTTTCCCTCATTGTAAACAGCATTCCCATAGGTTCTTTTTCCCTCATTGTAAACAGCATTCCCATAGGTTCTTTTTCCCTCATTGTAAACAGCATTCCCATAGGTTCTTTTTCCCTCATTGTAAACAGCATTCCCATAAGTCCTCTTTCCCCATTGTGAACAGCATTCTAATATACACTTTTTTTTTCTGCATATGAACATAAGTTTCAGCACCAGCTTTGCAGAGCTGTCATGTCTTTAAATTCCCAACATGGCCGAAAGCTCTTCTGAAAATTTACTCTGATTTGCAGGTTAATTGAGCCTGAAAAGTATGCGTGAAGTGCACTTTTTGTATCAGTGGCATATCGGGCATATGACGCTAGACAACTTTTATAGACTTCTTGACACTCAGTCAAAGACGTGGTCAACATCATACCAGCCACCTTTAATTGCCAAGACATTACCTGGTAACTGTTTTAGGTTGGGTCAACCTGAGAATCAAGGGTCGCTTTTGAAAAGAAAAGAAATGCCATATAAAAGGACACTGAAGATCCTTACATATCACCCCTAATTTCACCCCCCCCCCCCCCTTTTCCTTTTCCCCTTTTGCCAATTTTTCATGAAGTCACTGGAGGAAAAGAAAAGATGAACAAAATGACTTTTACTATTTTTGTGTCTTGCTCACTTTGCTAGTTTCTAAGCCAGGAGATAGGAAGGGTAGTGCATTATAGTTCGCATAGAGAAGGTACTCTGGCATCAGATCAGTAGAAAAGTCTCTAATTCAAGTAGATGCAAAATCTTTTCATAACTCAGATGGCCTAGGTGTCAATTTATTAAACTGAGCAGTCAAAAACTGGTTCTTAAAATTATTCGCAACCAGCCACCCTACCCACAACCCAGCCATAATAATATGCTAGTCATAACTGCTAATTACCCAATAAACCCTCCTATAAAGATTATATGTTTAAGTTCAGCTAAACAGACTCACAGAAAACAATAAAATCGTTCAGTGGATCCCGGCTCACTGTGGCATACCAGGAAATGAGTTAGCAGACAGATTTACAAAAAATGGAACAAAGGAGAAACAATGCACCCATCCATTGTCATTACCACAAATCAGAACACTTATCAAGGGAAACATCCACAAGGCCCTATCAGCAGACTCAACAGAAAGCAACACAACAAATTTTCCGTCTACGAACATTACACTGCAGGCTTAACTACCACATGCAAAAAATAAAGATTGTACAGTCCCTCACAGTGTGCCTGTCAAACAGGACCACAAACACTTGAGCACATTCTGCAGACCTGCCCACTCTACAGACAACTTCGGAAAGACACCTGGCCTCAAGAGCAAACTGTGCAGAGCAAGCTATGGAGAACCATGAAGGACCTGCTACTGACATGCAAGTTCATAGAGGCAACCCACCTGGTGGTCTGATCTGAGCATACGAAACTGAACACAAAGAAGGAGAAGAAGATATGTTAAAGTTGATAGAATCGACTTCATTGCACAGGTTTTATCCTGGATTAGTCTCTCTCTGCAGAACAGCTAGCCACCTGCCATAAACATTGCACAAAGTTTGTACACCAAGCTTAGATGAATAGTGTTGGAACTCTGCGCTGGCTGCTGAAGATGAGGACGGAGCATGCATGGAAATGCCCTGAGTGCTATGATGTTAATTCTTGACTCATCTCAACTCAACTCAGCTTAGGTGATTATCCCCAGGGGTCACCAGACAGTGTGTCCTTGAAATGAACCTGCGACTTTCAGTGCATGAGGCAAACGTCTTGACCACTTCACACTGGAGATCCATAACCATGACCCATCAAACAGTCAAATAACCATATTATATGTTGATCAGTTTCTCTATTTATTTCCCTGGTGGGATCAGGGGTCTGATTATTTCCCATGTGGGGTCAAGGGTCTGATTATTTCCCATGTGGGATCAGGGGTCTGATTATTTCCCATGTAGGATCAAGGGTCTGGTTATTTCCCATGTGGGATCAGGGATCTGATTATTTTCCATGTGGGATCAGGGATCTGGTTATTTCCCATTTGGGATCAGGGATCTGATTATTTCCCATGTAGGATCAAGGGTCTGGTTATTTCCCATGTGGGATCAGGGATCTGATTATTTTCCATGTGGGATCAGGGATCTGGTTATTTTCCATTTGGGATCAGGGATCTGATTATTTCCCATGTTGGATCAGGGGTCTGATTATTTTCCATGTGGGATCAGGGGTCCTAGTTGGGGGAAGAAAGAACCGACCCACTGTCTCCCTAACAAGCATGTCATAAAAGGCAACTAATGAGCGGTTTTCCCACCAAAGTCAGAACTCATCTGCCTGAGTGGTGACTAACCAACAGTCTACATACAGGTAAACCAGACCTGTAAAACAGATGTGCATGATATAATTTATTTTCTTGAATAAGATCAAAATCCACAAGTGGATGAACAACCACAAATGTCTGCTGGAGTGTAGAGCTGGTGAACAAAACAAAAAAGAAGAAGTTACTGTGATGAGAATGACCTGGTACCAACTGCCACAGAGAGAGAGAGAGAGAGAGAGAGATGCTGAAGAAATATGATGAACACAAAGCAAGGGAAAGGAACTAAAAAAAAAAATGACAGCAACAAGAACGGCCTTATAGAAATGAAGATAAACTTATGCAATACATTTAGAAAGAACACACTGAAGATCCCTACATCTTTGCCAAACACTTCAGAGATGTAACTGGAGGGGAAAAAGGAGGAAGAAGAAAAGGGAAGAAGAAAAAGGAAGAAAATGAGGATCAGTTACTCTCGGCATGACAAAAACGCCTTGTTTTGTTATGAGAAATTATTGTAAATGTGTTGTAAGTAGCCTTTGGATATGTGATGAATTTCTTATGACAGGAAATTCATTACAAGTAACATTTTTTGATGTAGTTTAAGTATAATTAATGAATCAGGTGCCATATCTATATCGAAGGTTGGTTGCAATGTGTTTACAAGACAATCTGTCTCTTAACCTCTATGACAATCTGTCTCTTAACCTCTTTGTATACTATCTGTGACTGCTGTGCATCCATCTCATAATGCGATCTTCCCATTTGTATAATGTTCTACCTCTTGCTTACTGCCATCAACTTTTACCTCCAATATATTTTTTATTTTTATAAGGTTTTTTTAAATAGATATTGTTCATATATGATGAGATGTTTGTGTGGCATGATTAATTATGTTTAAATCTTTCTTCTTCTTCTTAGTCTTTACCAGCTGTAAACTCCAGCAGAAAATTCTGGTTATTTGTCCACTCTTGATTTTTGGTCTTGATCCAAAACTTGAATTGTGCATGCACATCCATTTTACAGATCTGGCTTATCTGTATGCAGATTGTTGGCTCCTTGCCTCTTAGGCAGATGCACTCTGTAAAAAAGTAAAAGTAAAGGACCCTTTTCACGCCTTCAGGCATATAGGGCATATAGGGCTAGACCTTTATTTTATGGACCAATTGGCACAAAATGGGTGATGTGGTCAGCATCACTCCAGCCGCCTCTACTTCCCTGGACTGCACCCGGTACCCACTCAAGGCTGGGTCGACCTGGGAGCCAAGGTCATTTTTTTTAAAGTCGGGCTCCGATGTACTCTGACTTTGAAGGAAAATTCCCGAATTAGTCGCCTGCTGTGAAATTCTTATTAGGAATGCACTGGGTCTAATCCTTGTTCTCCAAAATGGAGTCCCAGAACAGCATGAGAAGTTATTAAATCTGTCACTTTATGTTTGGCTTTATATCCATCTACACTGTATACCCAGTTTTCTTTACAATTCTGGACTAGGAGATACAATGCAGCTAAATAATAAGTTATAATTTGGATAGCTGATATTTTTAATTGATTATTTCCCAGACGTTTAGCTGGAATTCCTGGCTATGTTGCTGCTGAGCTCTCTCCTGCAGAAGTCCTGAAAAGAAGGGAGTTTATTCTGGGAGATGGTAAATCCTATGGTGGATTTGAAAATAAGGTAATTATTGTTGATAGACTATCATCATCATGTTACAGGTCCTTTGCATAATGCTAATCTCATCAGGTCCTGCTGGAAATACTGTGTCTGTTTTTTAATTCCCCTGCCTTCTTTCATGCCAAGTGTGTTTTGTGTTTATCATTGTTTTGATGGACCCTGCTAATTCTTCTAAAACCCATTATTTTTCTTTGAAACACATGCCTGGAGAAAGTGATTAACATAAAATAGGATTAATTCAAAAGGAGTTAAGAAATAAGAGAAATGTTTGGGCGACCACTATTATCAGAAGGTATAAAACAGAGAGGAGAATGCTTTACTGGACACATTCTGAGAACAGATGAACAGAGAATCACCGAACAGACACTGCAGTGGGAAATAGAGAGACTGAGGAAACAAGGATGTGCAATAAAATCCCTAAGGCAAATCTTAATGAGATAAGTTAGAGGTGCTCGACTGGATTCTATCCATGATATCAGAGTTGAGTTGAGTTGAATCACGAATTGACATCACAGCACTCTAGGCATTCTCATGTGTCAGCATTCTCATCTTCACCAGCCAGGGCAGAGTTCCAATACTGATGGTACCGGTGAAAATCTTGTTATATGTCCGTCTTGCCCTTCCTCTAAGTGTACTGAGCCAGCCAGATCCTCTGGTTACACCCAGGTGCCTCATTCTCTCCAGGCGACATATTATTTGCTCAGAGTTATCAATGGCCATCGGGCAATCAGAGTGATTGTGTAGGATAGAACAGAATGGAAGAATAGACTACGAGCCTACATGACAACAGGATAGCGAATTAGTAAAGGAACTTTTGTTTCTCAAGTGAAGGAAAGTAGAGACAAAGATGGGGATGGTATGGGGTGGGGGGAGGGGGAGCCGCATGTCACGGCAAAAAAAAAGACCCATCTAAAATAAAAGCATTTTTCTTTAAAATAAGCCCTACCCCAAACATAAGCCCTAGTTAGGATCATCAGCTAGAATGAGAGACTTGTTGCCGATTGGCCAGTCAGAGAACAGATGCTACGGGTGTGTACTTGATACTGAAAGACTATGGTTCATAATTCAAGATGCATCACTTCTGTGAAAAAAAGAAGCACAATTTTGGTGCGAGCAGACTGGGGCCAATCGTTCTACAGAAAATAGAGCGCAAAAATTCAGGCCGTAGAGTTGTGACAATGTTCCAGTCAAAGATGACATGACTGTATTTGAATAAATGTAGAATTTTGTACATGAATAAATGCAGATTTTTGAATCTGAAAAAAAAGAGAGACATTCCGTGAAAATAAGCTGTAGTACATATTTTGAAGCACAAATTAATGTAAGACTTGGTCTTACATTGTTGTTTGTTGTTTGTGTTCACCAGCTGTAAACCCTGACAGAAAGACCTGGTTTTTCATCCATTTCTGGATTTTGGCTTTGTTCCAAGATCTGAGTTTTCATTTCCCAGATCTTGCTTATTTGTATGCAGACTGTCAGTGCCTTGCCTCTCAGACAGATGCACTCCAGCTTTGAAGGAAGCCCACAGTTAGTCCACTCTTATGACATGCTTGTTGGGAGTGTTGGGGGGGGGGGGGAACAGTAGGATTATTCTTGTTTTTCTCACAATGGGATCCCAGAACCCACACAGGATTCTTATTTTAGAGCTGGTGCTATTCAACTAAGTTTACACAGGGGACGTAACTGTAAAAAATGGGGATTGTCATGGGCCAAATGCTCGAGCCCAGGCTTTTTAATACAACACAACCAGCAGTGATGCATGGGCCACTTGCTATGACTTCTCTGGCCAGATTTTGCCCACAGGCTGTCAGTTGAATAGCTCTGTTTTAGGGATACATGCTAGTTACTTGAAAGTTTTTTTTAAATTGGATTTACTTTTTTCTTCCCTATCTTCTTGATTTTATTACCATGTATTCAGAGCTAACAGAGAAAGAATAGCTAGTGTCAGCTACTGTTATATGGTAGCTCAGTCATGTAAACAGAGCTTTTTAGCAGCACTTCTGTAATAGAAACAGTTCCTTGCATCTTTGTTTTATACTTTTTATGGCGAGTACTTTCATTTGTTGCTCTGACTCACCAAGCACGTTGAGAAAGGTGGAGACAGGCATGCTCCATGCAGTGTGGCGAGCATCGCTTCAGAGGTCCCTGGTTATTAGTGTCCTTTGGATATTTTCTCCAGGTATTGCCAGTGTGTTGAGAAATGAGCAGGCAGTAGACTGGCTAGTTCTGCACCACTTGGTGGTGAATTGATGTATGACAAGTTAGATTGTGAGGGCCCTTTATGAGTAAGTGAACAGTGTAGAGGCACAAATAGACTCTTAAGGTCTGAGGAGAAAGGTGCTGCGAGGAGTTACCAGGGGATCTGGTCAGCGCTCAACACTCAGGGAAAAGGCAATAGGGATATACAGTCAGTTACTGGTGCCATCTGAATGGGAACCGTTTGCTTGCTGCTGGAGATTGGGATGAAGCACTTATTGAAGTGTCCCGAGTAATGTGATGTTGATCCTGAATTCAACCTTCAACATTTGTCCTCTTGAAGAAGCCCTGCATATGTTTAACATCAATTACAAATATGTTTATTATTTTTCATACAGGCCCTTCAGCAGAACTCCTATTACAATATTTACTATGTTGCCTTGAGCCTCTTGAACGGAGACACAACAGCCAGCTGGTCACAGCTGAAAACCCCAATCCGCACTGTGCCCTTTGATTCAGCTCTGGCACCACCTATCTCCATTTCACTGGACAGTAAAAACATGACCTGCCTCAACTTTTCTTGGACTCTACCACAAGGAGTGGAAAATGTGTTAACAGACATTACAGTAGGTTTCTTTCATTCTGACCTCATGATTTGTAACTTTACCACAGGGAGTGAAAAATATGTTGACAGGCATTACTGAGGGTTTCTTTCATTCTGTTGTCATAATTTGTTACTTGCTCATTCTGTTATATGGTGATAGATTGGTTGCTGCCATTCCTCTAGGCGATGAGCAACTTTATGATAAAGCAGATGTGGGGAAGGCTGTCTGGGATCAAATGGACACTGCAGTAAAACAGATAGAGAATCTGTGATGCATTGAAAGACTAATTCAATGAGGGATGAATAGAGTTTCTGGAAGATATTCAACTCTGATGTGGAAACAGGTGGACTTTTAATCAGGCCGCAAATGATACTACACACATTGGCTACTGAGAAAGGAGACAAAGCTTGTGTGAGGAATGTCCCAAGCTCCCTGATGTCAGTTCCTGATTCCTTCGTTCATTCATTCTGTTAATGGAACTGTGGTGGCCCAGTTGCTAGAAGCTTTACTGCCAGTCTGAAAATCTTGAGTTTGAATCTGCATCATGGTTGATTTTATATTTACCAATAAACCTTTTCTAGATTGGGGCTTGACAAAAATGGGAAGTAGTCGGCAGGAATAATCTGCTCTTGCTAGCTAATCATTTAGTAAGTGTTCTCTGGGCCTCTAAATTCCCCTTTCCCATTTCTGAGATTATTCACTTTCCTGAACAAGCAAGTTCGAATCTGTATCTGGGTACCCAGGGACTCTGCACTTAGCGTCAAAAGGCAGCTGTCTCAGTTTCTCACTTGCATCATGAGGAAGGATTTAAACCCACACCAAACACCATTGTGAGTAAACAATAACTGTTTAATGTGCATGCAGCATGCATACGCTTGCACATGTTTGTGTGTATGTGTGTCCATCTCACTTTAGAATTTGTCCAATGTGAAAAATATCCAATGTAAAAACAAACACCTTGCTTTTTAAGAAATACAGAATGTAGTTAGCTGCAAATACATCACAGGATGCTGCATAACAACCTTCAAGCTACTGAACATTAAGTGGCAAGACATGGTCCTGGACACTGTCGTACTGGACCGGGCTAGCATTCCCAGCATCAGTAACACCCTGATGCAGTCACAGATTCCATGGGCTGGCCCTATTGTTCAATTGCCTGACCATCGGCTCCCAAAAATGATCTTTTGTGGTGAGATACATGAAGGTCGACGTACTCATGGGGGCCACAAAAAAGTGCTTCAAGGACAAACTAAAGGCATCATTGAAAGCCTTCAGTATAAACCCTGACACCTGTGAGGCTGCAGCACAAGACCGGACTTTATGGCGCACATATATCCGAGAAGGTGCAACTATCTGCGAGGCATATAGAACTAGGGCAGCTAAATAGTGAAGAAAGTCCAGAAAGAACCATCAGACAGGCCCTTGGTCTACAGACACTGTGCCCTGCCCTTATAGTCCTAGACTCCTCCGGGCACGTATTGGACTTATAAGTCACCCCCAGACTCACAAACATTCAACTGCAATTTCATGACAGATAAAAGAATGAGTGGTCCTCATCTCTTGTGAGGGATGAACAAATGAACGATAACCAAACACAGCATTTTTGTACTGTTTGTGATTTCACAAAGTAGTTTTACATTCAGTAGCTGCCACTGCTTTCTAAAAGTCAGCTATCAATATCACTATTGAAACCAGCACCAAACTGCTCGCAGCTGGGATCAAATGAGGCACCATGGAATTACAAAGTGCGCCGACAATGCCTAAGCCACAGATGGAGACTAGCATAACAGAATGTAGAAGAAAGGTAAAATATAGAACCCTTTTTTTAAATACCAGTGGTGCACTGGGCATAGGATGCTGAACTAGGTTGGGTCAGTCTTGGATCCAAGGTGATTGATGTTTTTTTTTCTGCACATTAAAATCCAATCCATCATTATCTCTTTCAATATCAAGAAACACAGGTAATTTTTTAAACATTTAGTACATAATAATTATTATAATTGCATGGTTAAACAAAGTTTAAGCCCTTTTAGCCCTACCCTATAGAAAATTAGAAGGGGGTCCGGCCTTGCATAATAATTTCGTTGTGGCCATGCCGCTGGCTGAAAATATTTTTATATTTTCCAGTTATCAGTGAAGAAAACCATTGATGACGCAACAGTTACCACAACAGACTTGCCAGTAACAGCACGAAGCTATCAGATATGTAATCTGTCTCCATTTACAGTCTACACAATTGCTGTAACAGCCAGAACAACTGATGAAAGAGCCATCACTAGCACAGAAACCTTTACTACAGGTAAATATAAAACAGTTGGCGTCTGTGGCTTTGGTGTTATGAATGGGCTTTCGTAATTCCAGTGTACCCGGTTGATTCCAGCCATGGGCAGTTTGGCCGCAGACTGCCTTGTGTTGATTTTTACAGGGATATCAAGAGCAGACAATTCAGAAAGCAGTGTGAAACTAAAAACGCTAAATTGCCAAGTAAAACCAAAAAGCCAACAAAAGTTGGAGTTGGTTCTGCAACATCCTGTAATGGATAAGCAGCTAACTTAAATATGTAAAACAGATGCATGTGCTGGAGTTATATTCCTGTTTTTCAGTTTGATTATCAGAACTGTGGTGGCTTAGTGGCCAGTGTGGTTGCCTGCCAATAGAGCGATCCAGGTTCTTATTCTTCTTTTGCGTTCCCCCCTTAAAAGGGCAGTTCACATATTTTGTTGTTTGTTTTGGTTTACAGCTAGGCTGTGTTATTAGTGCCTTTTGTTTAAACACATCCAATGCCTGCAAAACGTGTATTAGTCACCTTTAACAACAAGCTTGTTAAAGTTCCTCATCAAAATTAGCCAGGAAGACATGAAATTTATTTTCATATTATCAGAACACTTGGCAGCAGACGTGAGATCGAGAAAGAAATATATGGAAAACTGAAACAGCTAGTCTCACCATGTGGGTTCTCTGGCCCTTTTGTGTGTTTGTATGTGTGTTTGTATGTGTGTTTGTATGTGTGTTTGTATGTGTGTTTGTATGTGTGTTTGTATGTGTGTTTGTATGTGTGTTTGTATGTGTGTTTGTATGTGTGTTTGTATGTGTGTTTGTATGTGTGTTTGTGTATGTGTTTGTATGTGTGTGTGTAGGGGAGAGGAAGGTTGTGGAATAAAAGTATAGACCAACCGTTCCCAAACAAGCTTGTCATTAGAGTCTATAATTAGGATGTTCCTTTGAAGTCAGAGTGCATTGCCTGAGAGGTAAAGATCCAACAGTCTGTACACAATTAAGCCAGATCTGTTAAACAAATGTGCACACAAAATTCAAGTTCTGGAACAAGGCTGAATTCTAGAAATGGACCAGCAACCAAAACTTTCCACCAGTGTTTTCAGCGGATGAGCGCTAAGAAGAAGAAGAAACAGCTAGACAACAAATGAGAAGATATATAACACCAGTTTAATCAGAATATCAACCATCTTGTTATGACATTATAATCACATAGGGCTTGTAGTCTACTTCTCCATTCTGTTGTATCCTGTGTAATCTTGTCTATATTATGGATGGGTTTCTCTTTGACATCCTACTTTCCTCAGACCATCTGTTTTCCATTTCAGTACCTCTCTGATGATTCTCTTCCACAACAAATTAAAAAAATTACCACTAGTCCCTAAACATACAATCGGAAACTGTTCGAATATTATACGAGCTCAGATTAAATGCCCCCCATAGAAGACAGAAAATATTTTCTCTAGATTTACTACAACTACTAGGGTTTACTGTAGGTAGAATTGAGCACATTCCAGTGCTTGTATTGAACATTTTGATGCTATTGATAATGTTTACTGTTACTGGATAAATTGATGTAAGAAAGGATGGAGACTAGAAGTGTAGAATGTTAGATGGGCCTGCTTGCCCATCTGCCCAATTCTGAACCCATTGAAAATAAAGTTTGTTTGTTTATTCGTTTATTAATTCATTCTCCACACACTTTTTCTCAGGATCTGCCCAGCATAGGCCCACATTCTTTGTCTGTTGACACCAGTGGTTGTCCAGACATATCTCTTATTTAAATGTATTTTTAGACTGGTGTAACCATGAGCTTGTTTTTCTGTCTGAACAGTTCACAACACACCACCGACACCTCCAGCTCCTGTGTTAGTCAGCGCATCATACACAACAATTACAATCTCAATTGAACCCATGGTATTGACAGACGCCCCACTCACAGCTTACCAGCTGCAAGTAGAGAAAGTGATCAACAGCAGACGCAAAAGACTTGCAGAAATACCAGGTTATGTCACAGCACAACTCTCCAAGGAAAATGTGACACAGAAAATGAACTTTATTGTTGGAGATGACCACAGCTATAGTGGTTACGTAAACAAGCCACTGGACAGAGATTCCTTCTATATTATTCATTACATAGTGATCAGTACTGCTAGTGGAGTTACTAAGTTCAGTAATTCTAGCCTACTTCCTCCAGTTCGAACTGTACCATATTCTATAAATTTGGCCAGCCAATCAGATAATGACACTACTAATGTTCTCATGTGGGTTATGATTGCACTAATCCTACTCACTCTTCTCATTCTTCTGTTGATCCTCTTATACTGGTGCTGGAAGCGGAGAAACCGATTCAAACCTTATGAAGCTCAAGAAGACAAGAATACATTTGTCCTCCCAGAATTAATAGATGACTATAACCCAGAACAGTACTGGAGTACAATTTATGACCTTAAGAACAGTAGACAAATCATAGCTGGAAAGGATCTTGTTTATAGAAAAGGGCATGTTCTTCATACGAATGGAGTAGTGACTCCACAAGCCAGTTTGCCTAATATCTCCTTTTCGGATGAATTCAAAAATCTTCCACATTCATCCGATAAAGCCACAGATAACGTAGCTCAACAGAATAATGAACTCAATAGATTTCCTCATCTCCTGCCTTATGATCATAGTTTGGTTCATCTCAGACCTGATGTAAGCAGTCATCGGACCTATATCAATGCCAGTTTTATTCCTGGCTACAAGAAGTCATCAGCTTATATTGCAGCACAAAGTCCTTTTGATGAAGACACTGTTCTTGATTTTTGGCGTTTGATTTATCAGAAGTAAGTCTTTTAACCTTTTCAGTGCCAAACAATTCACTATTCATTTTTTCGTAGTTCCTAATTTTGATGTTTTTGCACTTATCTGTCACAGATAGATGTTATATCAACCCTCTTTAATAAATTCAGTCACTCATGTACCGTCTCCACAATTAAGGTTCACTGTTTTTTTTAAAATGCCTAATGTATCATTGTTCTGTAAGTCTCAGTGATTGAGGTCATGGGGTCATGGCATGAGTCACCAGATACATTTGTATTTGTTTGGGCTTAATGTAGTGTATTCCAATAAATGTGTTACTCTGTTTTTTGTATTGATTCCCCTTTTATATATCTTTGTATATTTCAGAAACAAAAATTTAAACATGTAGATAAATATATTTTAAAAACATTTTAAAGTGAGGTTTGTAAAATGGTCGTATAGTTAAGGATTTTGTCCTGATATTTCTACAAGTTCATGACCCTTTTGTGTTTTGGCATTCGTGGGGCAAAATGGTTAAAGTGTAAAATAAAATGGAGGAAAATAAAATAAAATGAAGTGTGTTGATCCAGAGTTAAACTAGGGAGTGGAGTTAACTGTAGGTAGGATATCCATCACTAACTTGGGCAGTCCTAATGTATTCTTTATGTGGTCAGGAAGAATGTTTGTGTGCACACACATTTGCATGCATACACATGTGTACACACATGCACGTGCACACATTCAGGCACGCACATACGCACACATACACTATAGTGTAGTTAGTTAATCAACAGATTATCACCACTGCACATCAGACAGGTCCGTGCAGCCCACCTTATGTCCTTCCTGTCTCTTCAACTTCACTGTCTATTTCTCTTCCGCATGTGTTATTTTGGTCTGCTTTATGTCTGTACCCCTATGGGTTGCAGTGTAAAGCCCCTCTAGTTCTATTGTTCTCAGGTTTCCTGATCGTGTGTCCTATCTAATGCCAGCATCTATTCTTCACCTCTTGATTTGAAAACCTCTGTATTTTAATGTTTGTGTTTCCATGATGTATTGCATTTTTCTAAATATTCCCGTCTGCTAATATCAGTCAATATAGATTGTTGTTTGTTACTAATAGACTGAAATGGCTGGGGCATATTGAGAGAATGATAGATGACATAGAGGTAAAAACTGTAGACTTGCAAACACTAGGTGTCACCAACTGCAAAGAGAAGGCCAACCAGAGAGATGAATGGAGGCAGGTGATATCTGCAGCAGTGAACCTCAAGGGCTTGAAATACTGAAGAAGAAGAAGAAGAAGAAGAAGAAGAAGAAGAAGAAGAAGAAGAAGAAGAAGAAGAAGAAGAAGAAGAAGAAGAAGAAGAAGAAGAAGAAAAAGAAAAAGAAGAAGAAGAAGAAGAAGAAGAAGAAGAAGAAGAAGAAGAAGAAGAAGAAAGAGGAGGAGGAGGTTTTTGTTGTTGTTGTCATTAAGGTTTTATGTATTTTTAAGTATAATGAGAAATAGTCAAGAAATTCAAGAAAGAGTTTAACCATATTATGTTGTCTGTCTTCTAGCTCCATCAAGACTGTGGTTATGATCACCAACACTGTAGAAGACAACATGGTGATGTGCACTCAGTACTGGCCAGATGAAACAAAAGCCACCTTTGGGGATTTCCTTCTCAATCTGGTTGAAACCACAGAGTATGCAGACTATATTATCAGAACTATTGCCTTCAAGACCAGTGGAGAGGAGCAGTTCATGGCAGTTAAAATATTTGAGTTCACGTCTTGGCCAGAGCACGGTGTACCAGATGACCCGATTCCATTTATACAGATGCGACATGCTGTGAGAAGTCACCATCAGGATAATTCAGGCCAAATTCTGGTTCACTGTGGAACTGGAGTTGGCAGAACTGGTGTCTTCATTGCTGTAGATGCTTTAGCTGAACAGTATGCAGCTGAGGGCAGGGTGACGGTTTTTGATTTTGTGAGTCAAATGCGCCAGTATCGCCCCTTTATGGTGCGCACTTTGAAGCAGTATGTGTTCGTTTATGAAGCATTGTTTGAACAGTTTCATGCTGGAGACACTCTTGTGGACTTTAATTTGAAGGACATATATCATGGATGGACACAGAAGAATCCTCGGACTGGTCAGACTTACTTGAGAGATCAGTATACGCTTTTAGAGACTTATACAAGAAGACCTCGGAGGGATGAGTTTAAGACAGCATTACTGGAAGCCAACATAAAAAAGAACAGGTAACTAACAATACTTATCTCTGTCATCTTGCAAAGCTTTTCTGTTATTGCCACATTCTTGTAAAGCTCTCAAAACCGACCTGTCTTTGGTAACCTATTCCGAAAAGTATAGTGTTACTGATTCTTTTCATACCAGCAATGTATATGAATATAGTTACTAACCAATAACATTGGGTCAAGGGGGGTGTTTTGTGAACCAAATTTTCCAGTAAGTCTGTTTGATAGAGATCACAGGGTCAGGCAAGTCACCCATTATATAATCTTTAAGGCCCTAGGGAATGTATTGCGTGTAATGCTTTATTCTGTTCATGTTTATTAATTATTTCATTTACAAATTTTAATGGTTTTTTTTCTCCAACTAATGTAGGTAAACAATTTTTTTAATTTGGTGTTTAGTGGTGTAGTACTGTCACTGTGTTACTGTGACCTATTAGGGAATCTAAGAGTAGTAACATTGTGATCTGTTATGTATGTAATTAGAGGTGATTTTTCTTCTTGTTCATCATTCATCTGAATGATTTAAATGTGTTGTGCCTGTTTACAGCATAGCTGTGATATTTGCACCCTTCAGCCGACACATCTAGCTTCTTTGGGCATTTGTTATCCAGGTTAGCCTTCCCAGTTAGTTTCCTGAGACATTTGTAACCTCATATGTGTAGTGATTTCATCATCCCCTGTAACACATGTGTTTTCCCTAGAGGACCTGCCCAAGGCAGCTCAAATTACCCTCAAGGGAAGCCATCCAAGGAGGCTTGCAAAACTATATAGATGACATATGGTGTTCTATTACTAGGCTCACCTAAGGAATCATTATGTCCTGCTCATGACTGCTCAACTGTACATCTATGTACTGAGCTCTTCAACTAACTGTGAGCTGCGTCCTTTAGGGATCCCCAAGAAGCAGTCTGCAGACCCGAGACTCTGATTCCCTGTACAAATGGGCGTCTCACTTCCTCAGCATGTTAGACTTCTTTCTTTGACATGGGCACTTTTCACATGGATGCCCTGGCCACTTGTTGCGTCATCCATTTGAAGCATGCAAGTAAAAGTAAAAAGTAAAGATCCCTTTTCGTGCTTTAGGTGCATCGGGTATATGGGAAGAGCGTCCCATTTTTTACAGACCAATCGGCACTTGATGGGTAATGTGGTCAGCATTATGCCGGCCATCTTTACTTCCATAGGACAGCCATCCTCGTACCCATTGTAGGCTGGGTCAACCTGCAACGCCCCATACCATGATAAAAATCCATGCAGCCAGCAGTGTGTTTTGATCGCGGAACGCTGGATTACGAGTCGGACTCGCAACGCCTAATCCACGGACGCTGCATGCATCAGGTATGGCTGCTCTTTATGACCATTACATTGCAGTGAAAGTGGCCGTTAGCTGATGTTTATTTAACTTGCTGTTTCATAAAGTAGTATCTTTGAGCAAGGGACATTTTAACTTTTGCTTTCATACAGTAGTATTTATTGTTATTACCTATGTATAACTATATTTTAATTGTTTCATTCATTCATTATCCTGATGTGCCATTATATGTCACACAGGGCTCACAGTCTATATCATGGATGGAATCCAGTCCAGCAGCTTTGGCCTCTTTCCTCAGTGTTTGTCCTAGGGTTTCTTTTGAGCATCGTCACCTCCATAATCCCTTCATTTTCCATTTTAATGTCTGCTTGGTGATTCGCTGCTAGCTTCTTCTCAGGATGTGTCCAGTGTAGCACCATCTTCTCTGTCTTATAACTTCTAGAGAATTATTTTTCACTCAAATATTGTGCACTTCTGGCCACTGACTTCTGCAGGTAATTGGTAGGAATAATTGTATTTCTGCTCTGTATTCAACATGATTACTTCTTCCCTTCATTTACTGTCTACTCACATTTTATCAGCAGGTAGGAAATCCTTTACAGAATTCTGAATGCTTGAGAAAAACTTGGTCCCTCACCAGCTGTCCTGTCTCAAGCACTCTCCTGCCTCAAGCACTCTCCTGCCTCAAGCACTCTCCTGCCTCAAGCACTCTCCTGCCTCGAGCACTCTCCTGCCTCGAGCACTCTCCTGCCTCAAGCACTCTCCTGCCTCAAGCACTCTCCTGCCACAATCTCTCTCCTGCCTCAAGCACTCTCCTGCCTCAAGCACTCTCCTGCCTCGAGCACTCTCCTGCCTCGAGCACTCTCCTGCCTCAAGCACTCTCCTGCCTCAAGCACTTTCCTGCCACAATCTCTCTCCTGCCTCAAGCACTCTCCTGCCTCAAGCACTCTCCTGCCTCAAGCACTCTCCTGCCTCAAGCACTCTCCTGCCTCAAGCACTCTCCTGCCTCAAGCACTCTCCTGCCTCAAACACTCTCCTGCCACAATCTCTCTCCTGCCTCAAACACTATCCTGCCACAAGCTCTCTTCTGCCTCAAACACTCTCCTGCCTCAAGTACTCTCCTGCAACAAGCTCTCTTCTGCCTCAAGCACTCTCCTGCCTCAAGCACTCTCCTGCCTCAATCTCTCTTCTGCCTCAAGCACTCTCCTGCCACAAGCACTCTCCTGCCACAAGCTCTCTCCTGCCACAATCTCTCTCCTGCCTCAAACACTCTCCTGCCTCAAACACTCTCCTGCCTCAAACACTCTCCTGCCACAAGCTCTCTCCTGCCTCAAACACTCTCCTGCCTCAAACACTCTCCTGCCACAAGCTCTCTTCTGCCTCAAGCACTCTCCTGCCTCAAGTTTTTTCTAGCCTCAAGCACTCTCCTGCCTTAAGCACTCTCCTGCCTCAAGTACTCTCCAGCCTCAAGCACTTTCTAGCTTCAAGCACTCTCCTACCTTAAGCACTCTCCTGCCTCAAGCACTCTCCTGACTCGAGCACTCTTCTGTCACAATCTCTCTCCTGCCTCGAGCACTCTTCTGTCACAATCTCTCTCCTGCCTCAAGCACTCTCCTGCCTCGAGCACTCTTCTGTCACAATCACTCTCCTGCCTCAAGCACTCTCCTGCCACAAGCACTCTCCTGCCTCAAGCACTCTCTGGCCTCAAGCACCCTCCGGCCTCAAGCACTCTCCTGCCTCAAGCACTCTCCTGCCTCAAGCACTCTCTGGCCTCAAGCACCCTCCGGCCTCAAGCACTCTCCTGCCTCAAGCACTCTCCTGCCTCAAGCACTCTCCTGCCTCAAGCACTCTCCTGCCTCAAACACTCTCCTGCCACAATCTCTCTCCTGCCTCAAACACTATCCTGCCACAAGCTCTCTTCTGCCTCAAACACTCTCCTGCCTCAAGTACTCTCCTGCAACAAGCTCTCTTCTGCCTCAAGCACTCTCCTGCCTCAAGCACTCTCCTGCCTCAATCTCTCTTCTGCCTCAAGCACTCTCCTGCCACAAGCACTCTCCTGCCACAAGCTCTCTCCTGCCACAATCTCTCTCCTGCCTCAAACACTCTCCTGCCTCAAACACTCTCCTGCCTCAAACACTCTCCTGCCACAAGCTCTCTCCTGCCTCAAACACTCTCCTGCCTCAAACACTCTCCTGCCACAAGCTCTCTTCTGCCTCAAGCACTCTCCTGCCTCAAGTACTTTCTAGCCTCAAGCACTCTCCTGCCTTAAGCACTCTCCTGCCTCAAGTACTCTCCAGCCTCAAGCACTTTCTAGCTTCAAGCACTCTCCTACCTTAAGCACTCTCCTGCCTCAAGCACTCTCCTGACTCGAGCACTCTTCTGTCACAATCTCTCTCCTGCCTCGAGCACTCTTCTGTCACAATCTCTCTCCTGCCTCAAGCACTCTCCTGCCTCGAGCACTCTTCTGTCACAATCACTCTCCTGCCTCAAGCACTCTCCTGCCACAAGCACTCTCCTGCCTCAAACACTCTGGCCTCAAGCACTCTCCTGCCTCAAACACTCTCTGGCCTCAAGCACTCTCCTACCTCAAACACACTCCTACCTCAAACACACTCCTGCCTCAAACACACTCCTGCGTCAAACAACTTCCTGCCTCAAGCACTCTCTGGCCTCAAGCACCCTCCAGCCTCAAGCACTCTCCTGCCTCAAGCACTCTCCTGCCTCAAGCACTCTCTGGCCTCAAGCACCCTCCGGCCTCAAGCACTCTCCTGCCTCAAGCACTCTCCTGCCTCAAGCACTCTCCTGCCTCAAGCACTCTCTGGCCTCAAGCACCCTCCGGCCTCAAGCACTCTCCTGTCTCAAGCACTCTACTGCCTCAAGCACTCTCTGGCCTCAAGCACCCTCCTGCCCCAAGCACTCTCCTGCCCCAAGCACTCTCCTGCCCCAAGCACTCTACTGCCTCAAGCACTCTCCTTCCCAAGGTGTTGCTTATGGCCTGTGACCATCTTCATGCTCAGCCCCTCTTACTCGATACCATGACCTCTGCTACTGATCTGGCAATTGATTTTTGGCTAAAGTATTTTTTTTTCAAGACTAGATGCTGTTTATGAGCCAATTTTCCTTGATGTTCAGATCTTTTAGGATGTTAGTATTTTTTCTTGATCCATGTAATCAAAGAATCTTTCAGTAGCATTTCAACTCAAAAGCCCATATTTTTCTTCCATGATTGCAGCAAAGTCCATGTCTCATATCCATATTTTGCTACAGACAATATGCATGCTCTCACGATTTTGACTTTGATTTGTTTGCTGGAGCTTAGCAAGCTACATTTACTTTACTTGTTTATAAGTTGACTGACTGTTGAACTGATTTGTTTGCTGGAGCTTAGCAAGCTACATTTACTTTACTTGTTTCTAAGTTGACTGACTGTTGAACTGATTTGTTTGCTGGAGCTTAGCAAGCTACATTTACTTTACTTGTTTATAAGTTGACTGACTGTTGAACTGATTTGTTTGCTGGTGCTTAGCAAGCTACATTTACTTTACTTGTTTCTAAGTTGACTGACTGTTGAACTGATTTGTTTGCTGGAGCTTAGCAAGCTACATTTGATTTACTTGTTTATAAGTTGACTGACTGTTGAACTGATTTGTTCCTCCTGTTTTATGTCATAAACAAGTGCTTGTATAATTGATCACAAAATTTACAATTATGTGGTAATAATTTTCAGATATTTGGATGTACTGCCTCCAGAAAAATACCGACCTCTACTGAAATCTCTTGGCGGGCCCAACTCAACTGATTACATTAATGCTTTGTTTGTAGATGGATATTTAATGAAGAACCAGTTCATTGTTACACAAACGCCTCTCAGCACAACCATCACAGACTTTTGGAAGCTGGTTTATGATTACAGTGTTAGCACTATTGTTATGGTGGAGAGTTTGAAAAACGAGGATGAGACCTGTGCAAACTACTGGTCTGACACTAATGCAAAACTTACAGAACCATTTGTCGTTGAAACCACAGTTGCCTACCAGCATGACAACATCACTCTCCGCAGTTTCAGAATCCTTAACACTCAGCACCCAAAGAAGCCAGCTAGGCTTGTCATGCAGTTTCAGTTCAATGCCTGGGCCCGACCAAATTTGACTCCACAGTCCAAGACGATGATGATGGATCTGATTGATGATGTGTTTTCCTGGCAACAAAAAGCTTGTAGCAATAGGAAACCTATCATTGTCCACTGCCAGGATGGTGCATCTCATTCTGGTCTTTTTGCTGTTTTGGCTGTTATATGTGAAAAAATGAAGCAGGATAAAGAAGTGGATATATATAAGACAGTCAAACACTGTAAGAGACGAAGGACTCAGTTTATTGCTGACTATGTGAGTACCTCCTAAAGTTCTTGTTTTTGTATAGTATAGCTTTTTTGTTTCAGATGTTTTACAGTAGATGACTTAATACTTACTAACAAGGGAGACCATTGAACATAATTCAAAATGAGTTGAGTTGATTCAAGAACTGACATCACAGCCTTTGGGCATTCCCATAAGCGCTCTATACCTATCTTCAGCAGCCAGCGCAGAGTTCTGATACCAATGGTACCAGTAGCAGTCTGATTGTACATCCATCTTGCCTATTCTCTGAACGTAGAGTATTGGTCAGACACCCCCCCCCCCTCCCCCCTGACCTTTTTTTTTTCTAAACTTACTGAGTTTGTGTAGTTAAAAATCATGTTATTATCAGTGGTTTAGGGGTTATGACACAGATTTATAATTCTGAGAATCTTTCAGTAACATTTCATTTCAAAAGCCCCTGTCTGTGGTTTATGGGTTAAGAACACAGTTTTATAATTTTAAGAATCTTTCAGTAGCATTTCAACTCAAAAGCTCCTAACTATCTGTGGTTTGAGTTATGAACACAGTTTGATATTTTTAGCATGCAGGGTTTGGGTCAGCCCCAGGTGATTTGGCAGAAAACTACATTGCAATAATTTTGACAATGGTATGAGCATCAACCATTTAGGGCACAACAACAAACTACTAAACCGAAAATTGTTTAGTAAAACCACAAACAGCCAACAAATGGTTGGATTGGTTCACAATGTTCTATACAGGATATATTTTAAAAAATGCATAGTTATCCAATAATGCTTTTCTATTAAATAAATTAAAAAGCATAGCTACTGAAAGGAACATAATTTTTTTATGATTATGATATTCAAAATCTGTGTAATATATTGAGTGAATACCTTAGGATTTTAACCAATCAGATGACAGTTCTTCAACATCCAGGTCCATCAATAATTTTTAGGCGTATAGGTTTTCCCGTCCACTAATAAAAATGCACCATTTGATAATTTTTTTTTCAGCAGTATAGCTAATATTAAGTCAGATGCAACCCTCCCCCCCCCCCCTCCCACTTTTCAACCTCACATACAATTTTATCGATTTTTTTTTAAATTTAAATTTTTTTTCAATTTTACATTTGTGGAGTATAGAACCTCATCCAACTAACACTAAGACATCCTATCTTTTGCTACTACATGCAGCTCACCCTTTGTTCTCCTTATCTTTTCACTTCACTCTCCAGTTACCCTTTTAAAAATATTTGTTTACTTTCTATTTCAGGAACAGCTTCGGTTTTGCTACAAGGCAGCTTGGGACTACATGAATTTGCGAATGCCAGGAGGGACTTTCACTGAAACTCTTGGACAGAGTAAAAGTGATCAGCTTTATGGTGTAGCATCATTTAATTTATCATCTTTGTTTGACAACATCAACAGTGAGGAGGTGATCATTTAACTGCTTCTTCCCTCAGCTTATTCATGGAATGGGAAACAAATTGGCTGAAGAGGCAAGGATGACCCTCACATGAACACTGGTGAGAGAGACCAAAGGTGCTTGATGATATCACAAAGATTACACAGGATACAAGGGAGTGGAAGATAATATTGTGACAACATTAACAAAGAGGAGATAATCATTTAACTGATTCTTCACCCAGTCTATTCATGAAGTGGGAAGCAAATGGGCTGAGGAAACGTGGACATCCAAGAGAAATTTCAACTCTTTCTGTTTAAATAAATGTATCATGTGTGATCAGCTATAGTTTAGATGCATCAAACACGAGATGGTGCATAACTGTATCTTTAGCATTTTGATTTCATTGTGCTTTTTATTCCATTTGTAAATTTGCTGTGGAAAGAGTTAAGATGAATGTTAATGAAAGAGGCCAGAGGTGTTGGGGTTGACTCCATCCATGATATAGAGATTGCACAAAATAGATCATGATGGAGAATCAGACTGCTTAGTCTTTGCATGTCTTTCACCTATCACATTTTAATAAACAAATGTTAATGTTTATTGTAATATTATTTCAGTTTTAACGTATGCCAGATAAAGTTGGGGAACCACTAATGACATGGAACAAAAGTTACGTGCATTTCAAAACAAATTCATGAAGAAAATGTTGAAAATAAAATAGGATCAATTCAAGAGGGTAAGGAAATAAGAGAAATGCCTAGTCAACCACTGGTTTGTTTGTTGTTTTAGTATCCAGAAGCCATGAGTTTTTTAACTCTTAGGCTCGGTATTATGGATATCGCAACCTTTTGGCCTTGATTTCATTGTAAATACCGTAAATCTGGGAGAAATGTGGCTTTTCTGCCTACCCCCGGGAGTGAACCCGAACCACAAGGAGTTCGTCACCCGCTCATCGGGCATTAGCCTGCGCTAGAGAGACGGGCAACCACTGGTAACAACAGTTATAAGACAGAGAATATGTTGCTATATTGGACACATCCTGAAAAGAAATTAGCAGAGTATCACCAAACAAGCACTAAAATAATAAATAAATGGATTAAGCAAGCAAGGATGTGTCCAAAAGAAATTCTCAAATATCTATTCACAGATATAGATATATTTCCTATAAGGTTTGTGTGTGGCATCCTGATATGTGTGGTGGGCATCCTGGCTTGTTGCCTCTGACTTCGGCACCGAATTTTAATTATTCTGGTAAGCTAGGTCGACGTATTGGCATATTGCACCTAACTGTCCACCCAGACATGTGTGTACGTCTGTATTCAGGTCTTTGGCATCATAGGCATCATTGCCACATCGACGTTTTTACTTAAAGCCAACTTAGCATTGTTGTTTCGTTAACCATTGCAATGTTTCCGGTGCGGTCTGACGACCTTGACTATGAACTTATGTAAAAATGATGGAAATCAGAAACACACAGTCCTGATGCAGTTCAGAATCACTTCTACAACCTTCTTGCAATCATTATCTCATCAAAATTACAGATTACATTCATGATAGACAGCTAAGTAAATGATTTTTGTAAACAATTCAAGACTTGAACATTCTAGTCACCATTTCGTTGCATCCCTAAAATGAACACTGATGAGAGAGGCAGGACTGCAGCGGTTCTGAACTGGATTCTATTCATGATATTTAACTCTTTAAGTCCCAGAGGATTTTGCACCAGAGGCCCAAGGAGTAGTCAAGAGAGACGTAAAATCAGCGCATCTTGCATTCTCTGGGTTTCTGGGTAGGAACCTGTGAACGTATGATGCTTTCCTTGGGACTGAAAGAGTTAAGAGACTGTACATGGTAGAATGGAATGAAGGAAGAGACTGTCAGCTCTATGTGACATAAAATGACACAACAGGACAGTGAATGAAAATGTACTTATTGGCACTCATAAAGACGTTAAGACAGGAGAACTCACTAGACAATGTTTACGGTTTGTTAAACTTACTTAAAGTTGTGAAGATTGACTTTATTGCTTTGAGTTAGCCGTATGGCTCGGCCACGAAAGGGTACATGCCCATCACCAGGCAAGCCTTAGTCTCCTGCCAATCAAGAATGAAGATTGTATTAGCCTGCATATGTACTATTTCCCCTCAATTTTTTTCTCTCTCTCTCTTTCCCTCTTTCTAACACAAGTATGTGTACTGCGTTCCGTACAGTAGAGATCCGGCATTCTTCTGTAACATTTACAGTCAGTGAACATTTTGTAAAATTCATCTGTCCAAATATTTTTATATTTTGATCCACTTAATCACACTTGTTACCTTAACCCCTTTTATCCCACAGTTTAATTATTTAATCTAATTAACATTCAAAATTGTTACTCTATAGTACACAAACTTTCATATAGAAAGTGTTGAGGTAACAAATGTATGGGGTTGAAATTGTTAAAAGCTGAGAGTCCCGGATTGTTTGTTTTACACTATAGCCATTTGAAAATTGGTGCCATGTCCAAGATGGATGTTCACTGCAATTAATCCACTGTTAACTAATGAAGTATTATGTGGTGAGGGCCCAGTATCTTCCACGATGCAACTCTCATACCGCTGTCCACAAACCACAAGAACAGCATTTTTTTTAACTGCCCACCAGAGAATCGAGTCCTGCTAAATGTAAATAATTGCATCGTGGAATCATTTCACTAAAGCATGAGCTTCACATTCGAACACAGGAACAGACAATGCAAGAGCTCTATCACTGAACAAGAAACATAATAACAGTGAATTCTTTAAAGTGTTGTGAATGCTACATAACGGTTGCCCAGTGTGATTCTCTCTGAGATTATAAACTCATTCTCAGCCATCAATTAGGACCTCATTTATAGACACATATAGATGTGCTATGAGGTTGAGAATATGTGATAATTCATATATATTTGCTTCCAGTTTCACATCTCTTTTCACAGTTTCTGCATTCCCAAATCCTTAGCTGTGAAACACCATGGCTTTATATTCTTTTCATAAAACTAGGTGCTGTTACCACGAAGTGTCTATCACAGTAGCACCCACACTGCAACACCAACACAAGTGACAAATCTTCTTCTTCTTCAGCATCTGGAGCCCTTGGCAATCATTGATGCAGGTATCACTTGCCTCCATTCATCTCTGTGATTGGCTTTCTCTTTATAGTTGGTGACTCTTTAGACTTTGTAGGTCTGCATGGATATTACCTCTCCACTGTCTTCTTGATCTGCCTCATGGTTTACTTGCACTAAAATACATTGTGTTCACAGCCTTTGTTTCTATCATCTGCCATTCTCTCATTTGAGAATATGCACCTTGTATTGGCATTTTGCTCCTGCCTTGGCATTACCAGTGATGCAGAGAAGGGATACAGCTGTACGTCCAAGCCATTTCAGTCTGAAGACAAATCATTTTTCCTTCAAATAATATTTGGACATTTCTAGGTACTCGAGATGACTCATTCAAGTTGAATATTTTCCTCACTGTTACACCTTGTCAAAGGTTTGAGGTTGATGGATTTATATAGAGTTAAAATGGTCGTGAACTGAATAATAATTAAAACAATCGCCAGCCTTAAAAAAAAAGAACCACAAAAGAAAAGAACTAGAAACATCCTTATCATCTTCTATGTTTGCCCTTAATTGAGCTTTTAGTAAATGAGGCCATGAAACCTACACAAGGGACACCACCGTTATAATGAAGTCAAAACGCACTTTAACTCATTATTAAAATCTTACTTTTATCTAATCACAACGTCTAGTTTGGGAATGGAGGTGGAGGCAGTCTCTGCTGTCTTCCACTGGCTTGAGAATCAGCTGTACACTCATGCCATGTTTGTAACTGACTCAAGAGCATGTTGAGAAATGTGAAAGCAGGCATACTTCGTGCAGAGTGGCAATCATCACTTCAGAGGTCACAGGTAGTTAGCATCCTTTGGATATTTTCTCCAGGTCTGGTGTGTTGGAAAATGAGCAGGCAGATAGACTGGCCAGCTTTGCACAACTTGGTGGTGAAATGATAATTGACAAGCTAGATATTGTGATGGCCCTTTGGAAACAAGTGAACAGTGTGGTGGCACGGGTAAATTATTAAGGTCTGAGGAAAATGGCGCTGCGAGGAGTTACCAGGAAATCTGGCGGATGCTCAACACTCAGGGCAAGGATGAGATTGATATACAATCAGACGGTTGGAACTCTTCACTTGTTGCTGAAGATGGGCATCGAGCACCTATGAAAGTGTCCCGAGTGCTGTGATGCCGATTCCTAATTCCATATTCAACATTTTTATATCATCATCATCATGTAGCAGGTCCTTTGCAGAACGTCGCTCTCATCACAGTCTGCCTGAAACAAACACGGTCTCTCGCCAGTTCTCCTGCCTCATGCACTTTCACACTCAAGGAGTCACTTATATCCTGTGCCCATCTTCGTGTTGGTCGGCCCCTGCCCTTCCTTCCTGGTACCATGCCTTCTGCTATAATTTTTTCCAATCCTTCGTGGCGCTTGATATGACCAAAATATTTCACCTTTCAAGAAAGGATGCTGTTTATTAGCCAATCTTACATTTTTTAAAATATACTTTAATATAATATTGATTGTTAGTATTTATGTATTAGTATTTTTATAAAAACTTTTTATAAAACAATAATTCTGTTTCTGCTCAGTATTAAACATAACTGCTTCCGTCCTTTATGTAGGTGCACTCATTTATACTTTATATTGCGTTATTTATAAGTTGTCTGTACATTGATCAAGTACTCAAGGTTTTGTACATTTTGTAAAACATTAAAGATTATTTGAAAAGAAAAATGCCTATTTGTTTCATGAATTTATTGATACAGACTTTAAATATACCAAATGATGTTGATAAGGATAGCACAAACTATACAGGACGTTTGCTTTCCTTAAATGAAGTCAGACCCTCGACACCGACTTCATGAGGAATGATTCAAGCAACAACAACAAAAAGACAAACCTGTGTGGGTCGCGCTGGGGACGCCATCAAACATGTCTGCTGCCTTACTGGCATTAATTGGGGAACTAAATGGATACCCATGCCTCCTTCTCCAAACATTAACATTACAGTCCAAATTACACTTGATGGAGGCTGTAAAGGGCAGATTCCTGGCAGTGTGGACACTTTAGCCAGAACACTGATTGACGAAAACAGAAATAAAGGTGATACTATAGTTTACATAGACGGTTCAGTAATTTGGGGCAGGTGAAGTGCATGGATATTCACAATAAGCTCAAGGGGGGAAACCATCATGGAGATGAAGGGCTTCTTTGCTATTACAACCAGCAGCATCATAATGGAAACAGTGGATGTAACAAGAGCATTAGCATGGCATGGTACCCGAGAGTTCGCACACAGATTTGTTCACACAGAAAGATATGTTTGTAAACTTAGTGACTCGATGAATAGACTTAACAAGACCAAGGCTGGTTTTGTCTGACACGAATGGATTGCAACACTTGGCAAGTCGTGAATGGCTGCCCTCACCTTCATCTTTGTGCCAGGTGATGAGGGCGTTCAAGGGAACGAACGTGCAGATCATTTTGCCGACACTGCGGTTGCTATGGCTGTTGCAGTACTGGACAGAAGCGATGTTACAAATGACGTACGCAGGACTAGTGTTACCGTTTTCTTTGACATAAAATATATAGAAATATATAGATTTGCACGGGGAAACATCTAGAAAAACATCCAAATGAAACAGTCACAAATTACATAGCAATTGATAAGACCTACCCTATATAATTATGTCCTCATCTTCACTGATGTCTTTCTCACAACATCCACAGGATAAACTTAGCTTCGAGGATGAAGTTGAAGCTTCAGATCCAAAATGACTGGTATGCTTTAGCTGTTCCAATTTCTTTTAATACACTCCCAGGGAGCTAATAAGTTGAACAGCATTTTCCTTCTCTTATCAGGCCAAATGTTAGTGTCAATACAACATTTAAGAGGTCAAGTTTCATCCTAATTCTTAGGTTAGATTTGACATAAATTGCTTCAGTTTCTGTTTTGTTTGTCCAGTCAACCAAGTTTATTTTGGTTAATTGATATTCTGCTTCCGCCACACTATTATCAGTAGCCCCTAAAAATTTCATAACTTTACAAAATTTAGGTATGACCTTTACTGGCTGAAGTATGTTGCTCACAGAAAAGAGTGAAATACTTTTCAATACATTTAGAGTTTCAGGAAGTCACTGAGCCCGTGTGTATTGCTCACCTTCATAACACCTTCACTTTGAAAAACCTTTCAACATGTCAAAAGTAAAGCAGTATGTGCAAAAAATTTCGGAAAGAGTGGCTGCATGATGACATAATTAAAGACTGGATGATGGGAGTTCACGGAGATACGGCTAAGGCTGGTTGTAAGTACTGCAAGTGTGAAATTAAAGCGAAAGTACAAGACTTAAAGACTCATGCAGAGACTAAAAAGCATAAAACTGCAGTTCCATTCACAGATATTAAACTGCTGACATCTGTTTTCAGAACCACACGCCGAGACAAAAGAACAAAAACAAAAGCGTAATCAATAATTCATACAGTGATTATTAACCTAACACTGAAAGAAAGAAAAAAATCTATAAAATATCTAACTCTAAATAAAAACATATAGAATTACATCTACCATCTAGACGTCAAAAACACCATCCAGATGCAAGGAAAAACATTTAGATCTGAATGTAAAAAATCCAAAGACGTTTCATTAATCAACACAGGTGATCATTCGTCGTTTTACATTTATGGAGCTATTGAGGAGTAGGTGTATGACGAGGTGGATGTTGTGAGGGCTCTTTGGAAAGCGATTGAACCGTGGGAAGGCACATAAAGATCATTACGGTCTGGGGGATATCGGCGCAGCGAGGAGTTACCATGTGATCTGGGCGGCGCTCAACACTCAGGGTTAAGGCGAGACGGATTTACAATCAGACAGTTACTGGTGCCATTGGAATTGGAACTCTTGGTTTGCTGCTGAAGATAGGGACGGAGAGCTTATGGGAGTGTCCCGAGTGCTGTCGACTCCTAATTTAACATTCAACCTTGAGGAGTAAGTAGATCAGAGCACCCATGGATCTCTCCGGAGGGCTGTGATGATAATCCTCACTAATCCCCGTGTGGGTTCCGGGGACCTATATAGGGAAAACAAGAATAGATAGACCCACTGCCTACCTAAAAGGAATCAGCAATCATCTCATTAATATTTGCAAAAGCATGTACACACGTAGTAAATGCTGCATAAGATCGAAGGCAGGGTTGTCAAGAACTTTTATAGTGAACTCTGGTGTGCGTCAGGGCTGTGTACTATCGCCGCTTCTTTTGTATAACATACATAGATACCATATGCAGCGAAACGAACTTTAACCATGAAGAAGATATTACAGAATTACTCTTCGCCGACGACCAGGTACTCATAGCAGAAAATACGGAGTGCCTACAGAACCACCTAAATCAAATTAGTAACAAAGTGGAGGAATATAATATGAAAATAAAAACTACGAAGACAGAGGCAATGATGAAAGGAAGACATAAAGACAATTTCGAAATTAAATTAAAAAACAACACCATGAGACAAACAGAGGAATATGTAAGTATTTGGGAGCAATTGTTACATCCGACGGAAAACTGGACAGAGAAATTAGCTCCAGATGTGCCAAAGCTAAAAAAAACAATGGGACAACTATCTCCCCTGTTGACACACAAGCAGATACCTCGGAGTACTAAAGTGAATCTTATCAGAACTATTTTTTGGCCAACACTATGCTATCAATGTCAAACGTGGACACTTACATCCTCCAGTGAACGTGAAATTGTGGCAACAGAGATGAAATCAGAAATGCCTTAGAAGAGCTGCAGAGGTTTCAAGGAAAGACAGAATACGAAATAATGAAATCAGACGAATGCTAGGAATAAAGCCAGTCTTACAGGTCATCAAAGAACAACAAATGAAGTGGTTTGGACACCTAACAAGAATGTCCTGGTACTATCTGCCACAGTGAGCCACACTAAAACGTTACAAAGGGTAAAGAGCGTGTGGAAGGCCTCGGCAAATATGGAGTGATGGCATTAAGAACAGCCTTACAGAAATGAACATCAGTCTTAATAGTGCTCTTGACAGAGCTCATCAACGAACATTACATCTCCCCCCGACACTTCGATGAGGTAAAAGGTGGAAGAGAAGAAGAAGAATAAGAAGCCTACCTAAAAGTATGTCGTAAGAGTCGACTAATTGGGAGCTTCCTTCAAAGTCGAATTGCATCTGCCTTAGAGGCAAGGAACCAATAGTCTGCATACAAATTAGTCAGATCTGTCCAACGGATGCCCACGCAACACTTAAGTTTTGAAACAGGACTGCATTCCAAAAGTAGACGAACAACCAGAACTTTCCGTCAGAGTTTACAGCTGGTGAACACGAAGAAGAAGAACTAATCACTTGTCTCTTTTTTTTTTAATTTACTCCAGCCGTCAGCAACTGTCTTTTAATTCCGAGTTTCTTCGGAATCTCTACATTTGATTTTTTTTTTTAAGTTGTGTGTGTCTATAAAATGCGACCCGTTCTTCTGTATTTCTACCTCTCAAGAGATTCATTATAATTTTCTAGATGTCTGTTCATGGTTAAAGTCTTGATACAAAACATCAACCATTGTTGATGTCACGTGATTGAAAATGGCGACCACCTTGAGAGGTTGTGTATTTGGCCTTCTCAAAAATGCTGTTCCTCAGCAGATCTGCAAAGAGCGTTGCACCGTAAGTTTGTAATAAATGCTTATCTGTCGGACCATAATTAAGTAAGGTAAAATAGGCACGGTATTTGTGACACTTGAAGTCGCCCACCATAGTTACTTCATTACCCAGCGAAGTCTTTTGAATTTTTGATGAATTGATCTCACTCACTGACACTGGAACCCAAGTTTTCCAGTTGGTTTGAAATTGAATGTGTCCTCTCTTATTTTAGTTTTCGGTGAAAATTCCTCTAAATGTTACAATGTAACTTACATTAACCAGCCATCTAATATTAAATACCTCTTGCTGCTTCAAATCCTTCTGCACTTAAGTACATTTTAATACTTTATGTCTAGTCTTAAGTATGTATTATTGTACTATACTTAATAATATATATATATATATATATAATTATAATAATAAATTCATTAAATTATAATAATTATATCATGTATCATTTAAAATATTTATTTAAAATAATTTTCAAATTTAATAATTAAATACTATAACATTATAAAAATATTGATAATGCATTATCTGTATTAAGAATAAATATAACTTCTTAAAATAAATACCACAAAAAAGACAGCTGTTGTTATGGTAACTGCAGTAACGCCTTCCACAAAAGTAACAAAATGGCCTTTTCCTTTTTCGCCTCAGATAGTCTGATTTAATTAAAAACCATTTCTGTATATCTCCCCTATCACGTCGTTGGGTGTAAACTGACTAAATAGACTTAATTATGGATGATAAAAATACATTTCACAGTTTTAATCAGTTTTAAGAGCCTACAAAATAACTGTATATTAAATAACTACCGATAATTAAAACACACTGAAGGCTTATTCTAAAGCAACAAGATGGACGCCAATTTCTTCACCCACGATGGTTTCAGGATCGCATCTTGAAAATCCCACTGCAAATCACCCCCATAGAATATACTAATAGAATTTTACAAACTAAAGTTAAATTGGACAGAGAATCCAATAATTACAAGAATATTACGTTTAAATGCGTTGAACGTTATCAAATAATGTGGCTACTTACCGCTATATATTCAAACACGATCGGCAGTAGCAAAACACGATCAAATGCTTTCAGACCACGAGGAATGTGAAAGTCAACCAATTTGCTTTCACTTGGGCTATATATAGCTCGTCGGAATCCCGAGGTTTCCCGAATGTGTATAACGAATCATCATCGTGAAAAAATTCACCGACAACTTACGGACATTGTTATGGGTAGCAACCCAGCCCGTTCCGTTTCCGGAAGTGCCCGATCGATCGAAGAAAACGTTGTACCTACTTTGACATCATTTGCATTTGGGGACCTTTGCGGGCTATCCTCCGAATAACAGCAGGGCCTCAGTCACATGTCAGTTGCAAACTTCCGGCGACTACCGCCAACGCTGAGAGTATCTCCCATGCCGCTACGCGCGGCTAAACTAGATGGCTAGGACTCACGAGCAGCAGCTACATCTCCTGCAGCTTTTATTTTATTTGCTCGTGAGTCCCAGCCATCTAGTTTAGCCCCGCTCCACGCCGCTGGGAGATACTCTCGGCAGTGGCAGTAGTTGCCGTAATTCACATGTGACTGAGGCCCTGTTAGGGTATATTTTTGGCCTTGATAATTTGGGACCTTTATTCGGAGGATAGCCTTTTTCGGAGAACATCCTCCTTATCATTGTTATTACTAATTCTGCAGATAAGGCCAGTTAAAAAACAACAAAAATACTGGGGAAAAACTGTCTTTAGTATATGAAGACCCCCTGTGGTGAAGCATATCAGAAATTCATGGATTAAAATCCAAATAGAGCCGGACTTTTAAAAAAAATGACCTTGGCTCCCATTTCGACCTAGCTTTTAAATGGGTATCAGGTATAGTCCTGGAACGAACGAATGAACGAACAAACTTTATTTTCAAAGGGTCACAAATTGGGCACGCAGGCCCGTGTTACATTCGGCCCTTCCAGTCAACCATCTTTCACAGAGCAGTTGTATTTTACTAATAAAGATCATATGATCTTATGATCATATGATGATATGCATATTATGAATATTATAAAAGAACACAAAAGCATGAGTTGTAAAGTGCATGCAAAAACCCGCGCGTGCATACATACACCCACATACACACGCTCACCCACTCACTTACACACACATACATGCATACATTGCATACATACACACATACAGGCATACATACATACACACATACATACAAACAAACATGCATACACACATATACACAGGCATACATACACACAAACATACATACAAAGATACAAACATACAGACATACATTCATACATACATAATACAGGCATACACACATACAAACATAGTCATAAATACAGTCATGCATGGAGACACACACATGCACACACGGACACTCCCACAGAGACACACACACACAGACAAAAATACAGACACACACACAGACACTTACGTATAAACACACACAGGGAAACACACAGCACACATATTTACATTCGTGCTCACACACTGACACACACACCACACACACACACATACGCAGTAAAGGCAGGCAGTGTGATGTGATAAATGTATCCTCCACCAAGTGCCACTTGGTCTATAAAATATAGATCTAGCCCTGTATACTGAGTATGCCTAAATGGGTTGAAAAAGGTCCTTTTTACTGCTTATTTGTACCCTTTTTGTATGGCTATTAAGGACAGTACTTTTGTGTGTTCAAACGTCTGGTGGTTTAAATCAGAATTAACCCATTCTGCACTACAGACTTGCTTCTTGATTTCACTTGCTGTTTATAGTTTTACTTATATCATGGAAAGATATAAAACTGAACGAAAAGTAGATCAGCGAGCTTCACGGTATAACAAACGAAGCGTGAATGTTGCGGATATGGAGCCTTCATTAGCACATATATAAATCAAACAAAACCACACAAGTATACATAATCTCTTAATTGATGTATCCTGAGGCAGCCACATGGAATAAAGAGACAACATAGGGCCTGAGAATATATAGCTGGGAAATGCCAGGGGCCTTAACTTAATAATTTAAAAAAAAAACTGTTTTGGTAGTTCAGTCCCCTGAGTGTGAGAGTTCTCAAACAATTTTTAAGGGACTTGCAGACTCTGTCACTGGAGTGGCCTTCTTAAGTTTTACTTTAACTATTTTATTCTTAGACTTTCAAAATCTTACGTCTGACAGCTGTTATTTTGTTATTTTTAAATGAGTCAGAGGAAGTTAAGAGGCTTACATACTTGAGGCTTAAGGTCATCCCTCCTCCCAATCCTCTTACTGTATTTCTCCTTCACCTCACTTCCTTAACAGTTTTCTTCTAAGGTCGTTGTCCCAAATACCACAAACCACTTGATTAAATTGTCTTTTAAAACAACATGCACCTTTCAGTGGGGGGGGGGGGTGGAGGCACTGTCTTCACAACATAGGTCAGCTTCAGTTCACATGATCATTCATTACTGTCTTCGGGAATATAAACTGGAGAGGTCCAAGTACCTTCCACAGTGTGAATCATGTGCCACTTTTTGAACAACCTGACAACAAAGAGTACTAGGGCAACTAAATGACGGTTTGGTGAATAAAATGGGTACCTGATAATTTTCAGGAAATTGTCGGGGAAATAAAGGTGAGGAGTACAGTACAGCTGGTCCCTGCAGCTCAGATTACAATAATCAGATATATATATATATAAAGGCTGAATTCTTTCAGCTCAAAAAGCTTTGATACTAAAAGTTTTTCTGAAAAAGTTATTGTAAACGCAAATTAATGTTTATCACAAATGAGACTAGGGTAACCAAATGTCTGTGGTATGCTGTGGTCAAAATAGGAGTAAAAAGAGTCTTTGCATGGCATTTAGGACACACAAGGAAAAACCTATCAAATTTTGCTTAGGACTTAACCTCTTTCAGTACCAGACTGTTATTACTTTAACATTTGATAACTTCTGTTGAAGCCACACTTACTAGACTTAAGTGTCCCACTAATCAGGTGTTGTCTCTTAATCAGCAGAGCAGCACCTCACTGTGAACTGTTGAGACTCAACCCTAGACCGAAAGATTTGTTTGCAGCTTAGACTTATTTACGCACCATAAAACAACAGTCTTTGTGCCTCAGGGAATTATTTATAGTTGTAAGGAGTAGGATAAGCTGAGATAGCTGCTGTGGTGGGAAAAATTGAAGGTTTCAGAAGAACAAGACAGAGAAGTTAGGCAGTCTATACTCTGTAGAGAGTAGTCAATAAACATATAGTGAGTTGTCTGGTACAATGAGAGTTAAGGAGTTAAAAACACAATGCTCCAATGGCAGTACATCTTCTGAGGTGGCTTGCAGTGTATGGGAGCTGGGATTGCATACCATTTCAAGTGGTTTTTGGTACACCAAGAGTTTATATCAGCTGTCAGTTTTGTGTTTTTGCTTGCACCTTATGTATGTGTAAATATTTTGTGTCTTTTTATTTCATCTACTGTATAGATTCTTGTATACATACATTAGACCAGGGCTATTCAAACTAAGTTTACTCAGGGGCTAAATTTTTGAAAATAGGTATAACCACGAGCCAGAGGCCTGAGCCACAGCATAGAAAGATCAGCAATACAATGTACAACTGGCAGTGATGGGTGAGTCACCTGCTGGGTCTCCTCAAGCCAGATTTGGCCTGCAGGTGGCCAGTTGAATAGCGCTGCATTAGACCAAGAATCATTTTGGACTGCCATTTTTTTTTTTTATTAATTTTGAGCTTCAGATCACAGTAGGATTATTTCATCTCAGTGCACAAACTCCTGCCAGAATTTCAGTGTGTATATATTAAAATCCACAAATTGTGTAATTGCTTTGAGTAGTAAAGTAAGCAGAGTAAAGGACCCTTTTCCACGCATTTCAGGCGTATTGGGTATAGAGACGCATTTCAGGCGTATTGGGTATAGAGACGCATTTCAGGCGTATTGGGTATAGAGGGCTAGACCTATATTTTATAGACCAAATGACACTTGGTGGGTGATGTGATCATCATCACGCCGGCCCCCTTTCCTTCCCAGGACTGTACCTGGTACCCACTCAAAGCTGAGTCGACCTAGAAGCTAAGGTCATTTTTGAAAAAAAAAATCAGGCCGTCATCAGGAACTGAACCCGTGACCTTCCAATCCACACCCAAGCGTCTAAACGCTAGACCACAGTGCTCCTGTTTGCTTTAAGCAGGCTTTCTGTTTTGAAAATTTTGCCACATCAGTGGCCAGGTGTTGGTTACTGTTATAGTCTGGATAGTCTTACACAGTGTACACTCCTCTAGGGTCAAATATTGTAGTCTAGCTATTGTTTAAACAAAAAACATATTCTTCTTTTTTTGTGTGTGTGCTATTTATTACCCAATGGAGCATTTTTCCTCAACCAGCTCACTCCTGTTTGTCTTATCCTTTGCTTTCATGTGCAGCTCACCCCATGTCCTCCCCCATCTTGCCTTCTTGACCCTCTAATACCTTTCTTCATGTATTATGTGGTGGGCTTTTAATCCTTTGCCCCTGTGGTTCCAGTGCAGTGATGTTCTAGTTATTTGTTTGTCAGTTTTTCTAATTGTATGTCCAGCCAGCGCCAACAATTTTTCACCAGTCGATTCATTGGAATTGTTTTTTACTTCTTTCCAAAAGAAGAAGAATATTTTTTAGGGAGGGTATCATCTAAACAGAACGGCGTGATATCGATTGCATGCCAGTTGTGTCATTGTGTTTTAAATTCAGCTAACATTGAGTTTTGCACATAAATTCACTTGGTAGGTATTGCAGATCACTGACACATATTTTCTAGCTCACCTTTAGCTATTACACCTGTCCTTTAGTATTCACCTTCACCTTCACATTTATGTATGCATGAAATGTTGTGACCTATTTCAGCCTTGTGTTGGGGTTGGCACTGTTGCTAGGCAGCTTCATCAAGGACACACGGTACAGCAGGCAGCGGTAAGCAGTTGAGGAGAAGTACACTGAGATTTTACTAACCTTTAGATAATTGGATGTTAAAATGTCAAATTAGAGCAGTTTTTCAATATTTTGGAGCATTTCACAGATTAACTCATTTATTGCTCTGTTGTGCCATTATATGTCATATAGGGTCGCAGTTGATTTGATTCCTCTATTCCGTTTTAATCACTTAAACAAAATTAATTTGGCTTAATTTTACATTACCCGGTTTCTTCTTCTTCTTCACTTCCTCCTTCATGTTTCGGGTGTCAAGGGAGATATAAGGTTCTGCTTCTTGCTTTTCTGGTGACCTTGACCATAGACACATGCTGTAATAGAGTTTCTCAGATGTTATCTCTCTATCTTGTTCTTTGATTCCATTTGTGTGCAGTTTGGCAGTAGATCGCCTTTTGGTGGTTTAGAAATTACCCTGATTACCACATTATGAGAAAATCCAAATTATTTGGACATTTCATGAGAAGGGAGAGGATGGGATGCATTGTGGGAGCAAGGGAGGGAGAGGATGATAAACAGTTTCTCATAATCATCATCAGTTTCCACTTCTGCCGTTAAGCGTTGTGAGGAGGAACAGTTTGCTATCCATTATTTGATGGGCAGCAATGGCTTCTGTCATTCCGTGTCGATGTAGAAGCTCTTTAATATCAGTCCATCTTCTCCTAGAACGGCCTCTTGCTTTCACTTCAAAACCTTTCATGTGTAGTGCCTGCATTGGTAGTTGTTCTAGGCTGCATTTTTACTTAATGACCAAACCATTTGACCTTCTGTTTCTCAATGAATTTGCTGCATGGTGTTGTTCCTACAGTCTGTCTGGCAATATCATTTCTAACTTTGTCTTGGATGATTAAGTTGGCAGCTTTTCACAGACATCTCATTTCACAGGTGTTAATTTTACATAGATTTGTCTATGGACAGTTTCTCATCATGGCTTAAACAGCATTTGTATCAGAAGTTATTGACACTGCATGAGACAAAAGGCTGCAAGCAAACTTGACCAGTGCAACATAGTATTGGCTATAAGAAGAAGAAGAAGAATCACTTAAATATTCCCCCTTTCCCCAAGCAGTTTTGAAATTTGGAGGCTCTAAAAATATCTGCTTTCCTCGTCCCGGCGGTTGGGTTGGTTTTATTGTTTGTTTCTGTTTCTTCTTCGCGATCACCAGCTGTAAACTCTGCTGAACTGCAGTCCTTCTCCGGAACCTGAGTGTTGCATGTGCAGTTTGTTGTTTCCTTGCCTTTTAGTCAGATGCACTTCAACTTTGACTGAAGCTCCCAATTAATTGACTTTGCTTTTGGGTAGGTAGTGGGTCTGTTCTAGTTTCCCCCACAATGGGACCCTGGAACCCACACAGGGATATTGTTTGTTGACCTCTGTCACACTGAGTAGACTAAATGTAGGCATTTTCATCTATGACACAATCCTATAAATGCTGATGTATCGGCATGTTTGCAGTGACCCATTCTGGAAAAGTGAAGTTAAATTACGTTAATTCTGTGCGCGCCTTTGCAGTGTATAACAATCAAGGTTAGGTTATTAATGTATTAACTAAAAAAGCATGAGAAGGGGTGGGGAGGGGGCTCCATTGACTCTGATGGCTTATTAAATGTCATGTTGATGTAAGTTTTTCCCGTGAGCCTTAGTGATAGGGGTCACAGTATGTCACCCAATACCTGTGGTTTATTTTAGACCCTGTTGAATGTATTCCATATAATGCCTCACTATTTTCTTGTTATGATTACTCCTTTTGTGTCTCTTGAATTTACTCACTTAGATTTAATTGATTTGATTTGATTCAAGAACCATTACAGTACTCAGGACGTTCCCATAAGCGCTCCATCCCCATCTTCAGCCGCCAGCAAAGAGTTCCGATACTAATGGTGCCAGTTGCATTCTGATTAAAAGAGTCCGTCTTGCCTTTCCTCTGAACCTCAAGCTTCTGCCAGAACCTCTCGTCACCCCCCCACCACCCCCCCCCCCCCCCCCCCACCCCCCCCCCCCCCCCCCCCGCATCAATCTCACCAGACTGTGGTGATCCATCTGCTCCTCCAAACTGTACACGCTCTCCCTCAAGGCACTAACCACGTCATCATTATAATGCATCAGTATTCCACCAATTTGTGCAGAGCCAGCCATTCTGTCCGCCTGTTCATTTCCCAACACACAAAAATCCCAGTAAAAAAATCTAGACAATACTTCTCACCCGTGTCCTCCTCAGCGAGGCATGCCACTCTGCACAAAGCATGCCTGTCCTGATCTTCCTCAGCATGCTTTCTGAGTCAGTTACAATCACGATGTGTGTGTGCGTGTCGTGTTCTCTAACCAGCGGAAAGCTGCAGTGACCGCCTCCACCTCCATTCTTAAGCTGGATGTTGTGGTATTATATTCTAGGCTCTCCTGCACCAAACGTCGACCGTTAACTTTTGCTAAGAAATCCCAAGCACTTCTTTTGCCTCTTGACACTGAACCGTCTGTGTAAATGATCAAATCTTCTGAGCGAACATTATCTTGAATTAATTGATGAATTTCCACCTCTGTGGCACCTGCTGGCCAGTCTCTGCATTCCGGCTCAGTGTGATTATGACCCTACACAAGTCTGACTGTTCAGGTGGCAATTTGACCCAATCCTCTCCTCGCCTAATGTTCTCAAGGATGCAAACCTGTCTGATTGTGTCTTCTGCCTGAGCCATCCATGACTTCTCTCTTATCAGCAGCTGACCCTCAACTGCACCCAGAGCTTTGTGCAGAGGGTGGTCTGTGTCTACAGCTACCCTGAGATATGATTTTGCCTGCAGCACCTTGTGCCTACCTGCAACAGTTGGCAAACCAAGGATGTATAGCAAACACACCACTGGGGTGTCTCTGGTGCAACCCAGAATGACCCGCATAGCCGCGTTCTGTATGCGCTCTAGTTTGTCCATTTTATACTCTCTGAGACGGTAAGCAGTCCCAGGCCATAATCAACCACTGACAGGATCAGGTGCTGATATAGTGTGAAAAGCATTCTCTGCTCTATGTAAATTGCAGCCATAGTCTTAAGTGCACTGAGTCCTTTTTGGTATCTTGTCACAACACTCTCCACATGGTCCTTAAAGGACAGGCTCCTGTGAAATGTTATTCCCAGATACTTCTGCTATGAAATATTTCATTTTCAGTTTGATCTGGCTGCATTCTCACTAGATGGCCATACCATTTCATTCTTTATCTGTCAGTCTTTCTTCTGTAGTAGAGGTTGATTAGACCACTGCCAGCTTGCGATGCCTGTCACATGAGGGGGAAAGAAAGCCCTCACCTGGTTGATGCCTGTCTCATTCCAGGCGAGTCATTGCCCTGAAACCTTGCAACTTCATTTTTGCAGTGTGCACCATGAGGAGTTAGGGTTGATCTGGGTGATCTACAGGCTACTTAATTTCACATTTTATTTTCCAAAACAAAGCTAGCCAACCTCAACACTGCTGACTACAGTGCCAAGCACTCGAGCACATCCTTACTTGCCTTTTTGGTTTATGTATGACAGATTAATGTTACTTCCTAGCGTGCTAGTTCTCTGTAGAGTACTAAACTCATTTTACTCTAATATAGATAGCAGAGCCAGTGTCACGTCCAGCTGGCCAGCATGTAGTCACACTGATCCCCGGGGATGGAGTTGGGCCGGAACTGATGGCAGGAGTCAGGGAAGTGTTCAAAGCAGCTGGTGTGCCTGTGAAGTTTGAGGAACTGTTTATCAGGTGAGAGAACAACCGGTACACAGATTGTGAATGAGAAACACATAGTGTTTGGCATTAGAGCTGTTGCTTCGGTTTAGTTCTTTACTTTTAATTTCACATCCAATTATTGTGGAATAGAGCCAGCTCTGGAAAATTTGTGCTGCTACCACCAGACAATGACACATTTGATTTAGAACATAGCAGATAGCTGTCATGTACATGTTTTCCTGGCTACAAGGTATAGCAGCTAAAGGGTAGGAGATAAACATTCTTGGATTTACAAAAAGCAGCCAGTCAGCCATGGCAATATTAACTAGATGTCGGGTGTGGGGAGGGGAGGTGTTGGATGTTTCCGTAGTGAAGTAGTCAAGCTGTTTGCCTCACATTCTGAAGGTCATGGGTTTGTTTCAAGGCTGTGCTGTAAAGTTGACGAGTGCAGTTTTTACGGAGATGTCTGGGGATCGTCGCCGGTGCTACTGAGTTCCTGCTCTGTGCAGCGCTCTCGGCAGGCGGCTAGCTGTTCTGCTGAGAGGGTCTGAGCCGTATGGGATAAAACCCGGTGCAATGAAGTCGATCCTCTCGACTTAAAATATTTTCAGCCAGAGGAATAGCTCAGTTACAATTGTCACTGGCCTTCATCAGGGAAATTAAGACCAATTGTGTCAATATAATGAGAAATAGAAGATCAGATGGTTTGGAAGTCTTGTTTAAATGCAGCACCACTAGAGATGATTTGGAAGTCTTGTTTGATTGCAGCACCACTAGAGATGGTTTGGAAATCTTGTTTGAATACAGCACCACTAGAGATGATTTGGAAATCTTGTTTGAATGCAGCACCACTAGAGATGATTTGGAAATCTTGTTTGAATGCAGCACTTCTAGAGATGATTTGGAAATCTCGTTTGAATGCAGCACCACTAGAGATGATTTGGAAATCTTGTTTGAATGCAGCACCACTAGAGATGGTTTGGAAATCTTGTTTGAATGCAGCACCACTAGAGATGGTTTGGAAATCTTGTTGGAAATCTTGTTTGAATGCAGCACCACTAGAGATGATTTGGAAATCTTGTTTGAACGCAGCACTACTAGAGATGATTTAGAAATCTTGTTTGAATACAGCACCACTAGAGATGATTTGGAAATCTTGTTTGAATGCAGCACTACTAGAGATGATTTAGAAATCTTGTTTGAATGCAGCACCACTGGAGATGATTTAGAAATCTTCTTTGAATGCAGCACCACTGGAGATGATTTAGAAATTTTGTTTGAATGCAGCACCACGAATTAAGTAACAGAGGAAACATGCCTAAGAAAATTTTATTCAAGAACAAAAGAAAGTCTCAAAAGAAGTTGAGATGTCAACTCTATCAGATCTGCAAGTGACAATCAATAACAAGCATATGTCTTGCATTTGAGAATATCTGATGTTCAGTGCCCAGTGGATCTGCAAGTGACAATCAGTAACAAGCATATGTCCTACATTTGTGATTATATAATGTTTAGTTTTCCTTGGAGTTCATTAGTGAAATCAGATAAGTATGTTTATGGACATACAGGCCATAATGTATCACTACACCAGTGATCCTGAACTTTTTTTGCAGCTGTGGCCCACAAAGAAACAGGGGACATTGTATTGGAGCCCACCTAACGGATAACCAAACAAGGAAAAAACCATAGATAGCATTTAATTTGTTAAATTTGATGTCACATAATTAAAATTTTCAGCTAATGCAACATCTGTTGCTGCTTAGAAGTTAGAAAATATGATATACATAGCTAGAGCAGTGCATCTGATAGACAAAGCACTGACATCCGTTCGATTTCTCTGTCAGGCTGTTGATTCTCATCTGCGTTATGTGCATTTACATATTCTTGTTGCGGTTTTCAGCGAAGTGGCGCCCAACAACAGTGCTGATCTTAACACTGTAGTGGAGTCATTCATGCGTAACAAGGTTGGCTTGAAAGGAATCCTAACATCACCTACTACTTTCAAAGGTGGCATTCTGCAGACCTTGAACATGAAACTCAGGTCAGTATATAACAAATGTTTTGAACATATGAACATTATCATCATCGTCATCCACATTCTTTGCTGTCAAGTATCATGAGAGGAAATAGTTAGCGGTCCAGTGCTTGACAGCTTGGCGTAACTTTTGGGATGGTTTGAGGGTTTGAACTACCAATCAACATCATGGCACACGGATAGTAACACATAAGTGCTCTGTTGTTTTTTTTAAACTCAAGTCTAAGTCAGAAGAAGCTCAGCATAGTGCGCAGGCTCTGTAGCACTGGTGAGGATCCTGATACTTTAAGTAGATTTTTAACTTCATATTTTGCCCAGGCAATGCCGTTAGGCTACTCTCGTCGATTTCCAACTGTCAAAGGATTTTTTAAATGCGCAACAATGCACACGGGCATTTGGTCTTACTACACAGAGACCAGGGGGAATTACTAGAAGTCCAAATCCACATGAAAAAATCCCAGCCTTTACTGGGGATTGAACCCGGAACCTCTAGCACTTGAAGCGGACACCATGCCTGGAGACCACCTACCCCCCACCACCACCAATTTATGGGGGACAAATCTGTAATAACAAATTATTGGCCAAAGACGAGAAAGAAGGCTGAGGACATATGTGATTGCCAGTACAAATAGCATGGACTATCTTCTTGTTCTTAGTGTTTTCCGGCTGTACACTGTAGGGTAAAGTTTGGGTTGTTCCTCCACTCCTGGACTTTTGGTCTGAATCCAGAATTTGAGTTTGGCTTGCTCCTCTGTTTTTACAGATCTGACTTATTTGTATTCAGGTTTTCTTGCCTCTCAGGCAGATGCACCTTGCTTTTGAAGAAAACATCTCTGATTAGTTTCTCCTACAGACATGCTTGTTTGCGGGGGAGGGTGGGGTCACTGGGGACTGTTTTTTTCTTTCTTCAAAATGGAGCCTTTAAAACATGGACTATAAGAGGTAGAAGTTTCTAGTTTTTTTTAAATCTCGTGAAAGATTATATAGGATTAGTTACCACAAAACTTCACTGTTGATGTCTTATTTGTGTGCCTCACTTATGCTGCTGTTTCTCACTGTCCACGGTGATGGTGATTATCTATGCTCTCTCTCTCTCTCTCTCTCTCTCTGCATGGGTGCACACATACTTTTCTGTTTTGTTTGTTCTAGACTTTTTTCTGTTGTGTCACAGTGTATTAGGACATGAACAGGCAGACATACTGGCTGGATGTGCATTGCAAGGTGCCTTTGGAGAGACAGATGAGTGAAAAAGCTGTTGAATATAAGATTGAGATGCACCGTTTTTTGTGTGATCTAGGAATGACATTTGATTAGGTCCCCTGTAGCAAGCTCTGGGACAGCTTGCCTGGGAAAAAACATCCCAGCACCCCTGATCAGTACAATACAGAGTTTATACAAAAGCTGCAGAAATTATGTAAGAACAGCACACCAAAAGTCAGAAGAATTTAAGACCACTAGCTGCGTTAGACAAGGTGATATTCTCTCACCTTACCTCTTCATTCTTATGATGGATGATGTCATCAAGACCTGTAAGCAGAAGACAAAGAAGTACTCAGTAGGGTACTGGAAGATAAGACCAATCTGTATATCAGAGCTGGCATTTGCAGAGGATTTTGCCCTGATAGCTAAATCAGAGGCACACCTTCATTCCAACTTACTTGTCTGTAAGGAAGAACTTGAGAAAAATGGGATGACCATCAGTATCTCCAAAACTAAAACCATGGTGATCTCAAGAGAGAAGAAAAAACACCAGATCATAGTGGGACAGTATGCATTGGAGCAAGTCATCCAGTTCAAATACCTTGGATTTGTATTAGCCCAAAACGTAGGCATTAAGACTGAGCTGGCTACATGAAAAGCAGATGCTCGGAGACTCTTCCAGACCATAAACTAAGGGTTTCTATGCAAAAGAGAAATTGGTAAGAGGACGAAAATGGTTGTTTACTGCTCTACATATGAACCAGTCCTGACATATGGGCATTGACAACAGCTCAAAGAAGCCAACTTCAGAAATGAGATATCTGAGAAAGGTGGTCCAAGTGACAAGAAGGGACCAACTCCACAATCAGACAATACGTCAAGATCTTGATACCCAGTCCTTATAAACCCGAGTGGGTCAGTCACAGTTATGATGGTTTGGACATGTATGCAGAATGGAAGAAAATCGGCCACTGTGGCGGGCATCTGAGGTTAAGAACGAGGTTACGAGACCTCCAGGGTGACCCAAGGTCCGCTGGAAAGTCAACATCCAACAGTCCCTAACAGACAGAGAACTGGAATGGAACAAAGCCAGAAAGAAAACTGCAGATAGAGACGTCTGGCGATCTCTCTGGCAAACCTCTACACCCTAAGGTAGAAGAGGAGCGACTTAGTAACTAAGTGAGATTGCCTTGGGACGTAAGTGAACAATGAGGAAGAACAAACATCATCACAGTCTGGAGAGAATGATGCAGCAGGGAGTGACTGGAGGGTTCTGGTTAATACTGTGCACTCAGAGGACAGGCAGAATGGACATATAGTCAAACTGCTCTGGATACTATCAGCATTAGAACTCTATGCTGGCTGCTAAAGATGGAGGGGTGGGGTGATTATAGGAATGTCCTGAATGTGGAGATGTCATTTCATCTGTCCTTGAGGACAAATTTCTGTGCTGTTTGTGGTTGTACTTTTTCTGTTAGACTGTCATCTGTTATGCCAAATAGTTGTAATGTTTCCTATTCTGCAGACGTCAGCTGGATCTGTTTGCTAATGTAGTGTGGGTGAGAAGCCTGCCAGGTTTCCCAACAAGACACAACAATGTTGACTTTGTGATTATCCGTGAACAGATGGAAGGGGAATACAGTGCTCTGGAACATGAGGTGAACAATTTGTAAACTATATGTGGCTTATTTCTGTTTTCACATGTTGTATGAACTTGTATGAGTCAGAATTGGTCGTGGCACCGTATGTTATCTTTATTTACCTCTCTTAAGACAAAGCCATGGATAGCTGTCAGTGACCTTGCAGACTGTTGGTTCCTTGCCTCTCAGTCAGATGCACTCCAGCTTTACAGGAAGCTCCAAATTAGTCAACATGCTTGTTTGGTGGGGAGGCAGTGGATCTATTCTTGTTGTCCTACAGTAGGGCCCCAGAACCCTTGGACACATTAAGAGTCTTTTATTGTGCTATTTTGACCCTGCTGGTGTGTTAGAATGTTTGAAGATTGTAACCTGAGGAAGCAGTTAAACTGATTGTATGTTATATTTCTTCCTGACAGAGCGTGCCGGGTGTAGTAGAATGCTTGAAGATTGTGACGAGAGACAACTCCATGCGTATTGCCAAATTTGCTTTCGATTACGCAATGAGACATGGCCGTAAAAAAGTGACTGCAGTTCATAAAGCCAACATTATGTAAGTTTGTATATATTAGGCATCGTATGTGAGGCATCTAAACTTTTGGTGTGTAATGTTTATGAATTCTGATTTATACAGAAATAGAATATGCCATAGGTAAAAAAGCTTCTGCAATTTCCTAAGCATGTGTGCTTTTCTTGCCACAAACATAGCTTTTGGGCATTTTGAAATGATTGTCCCCATTTGGATTCCAGGGCCTCATTTGAGGAAAGGTGGTGCGGGGGATTAAGACCCCCTTGCACCCTAACAAGCATGCCACAAAGGGGTATATTTAGGAGTTCGCTGAAATTGGATTTGATGGGTCTAGCTGTAAACCGCAACACAATGTGCCTACCACTACTTTTAATAGAATTAGAGGTAGATAAAATTGCTGAAATATGGATTTCAGTAAAAATATTACAATTACATGATTAACCAAAATATGTAAGATTCATGATCAAAGGAACTAAGACACAAAAGCAGTGAAGCAAGTATGTTCAGAAGGAAGGAGACATCATTCTTTGACCATGTCAGAAGAAAAGGACAGCTGAAATCACATGACTACCACTTTCTGCAGATTAATCTTTGTCATTGTTTCCTGGTCTTTGTTCCATAGCTGATGCAGCTCTCCTCATCTTCTGCTGAATGTTCACCAGCTGTAAACTCCAGCGGAAACTTCTGGTCATTTGCCATCTTCTGCTGAATGTTCACCAGCTGTAAACTCCAGCGGAAACTTCTGGTCGTTTGCCCTCTTCTGGACTTTTTTTCCCGGAACTGTAATTTTATGTGCAAATCCATTTGACAGATGTGGTTTGTTTGTGTCCATAGTTTGGTTCCCACCTCTCAAACAGAATCACACCAACTTCGAAGGAATCACCCCAACTTCGAAGGAATCACCCCAACTTCGAAGGAATCACCCCAACTTCGAAGGAATCACCCCAACTTCGAAGAAATCACCCCTAATTAGTTACCTTTTATGACTCCCCTTGTTTTTGGGGAGGGGGGGGGGGGTCTGTTCTTTTTTCCCTTTTAGTGAGTTCCCGGAACCACACAGTCCATATTTTGCAGTCTCAGTTTCAAATGCATCCATACTTCAAGAGCTGAATATTGAAGAGGGTTGGCTAGTAAAGACAATAAAACAAAGAAAATTGAAATATTTTGGTCACTTGAAACGTCATGGAAGTCTAGAGAGAACAATAATGGAGGGGTCTATGCCTGGGAAGAGAGGAAGAGGAAGGCCAAGGAGAAGATGGGTGCAGGATGTGGCAGATGATCTCCAGATGGGTGTATCAGACGCAGGACATCTTGCTCAGGATAGGAAGGTTTTCCGGAGGGTTGTTATGGCAGCGAGGTTCCGCGAGGGACATGCTACTGAATGAATGAATGAGTCTCAGTTTAGATCCTTTTTTTTTTTTTAAATTGTCTTAGGACATCATACATTTAAAAAAAATATGTGTTGTTGTTTTAGACATAATAACCTTGTGCGTAATTACAGAAGTTCTATGATCTTTTCATCTTCAGTCTATCCTTTCAAATCTTCAGGCAGTTTTGTGATTAGGTGAACCTTACGAGGGTTTGTTCATTCTTCTTTCATCTTTTAGACGTAGCCTTTTCTTTGACTTGCATTATGTTTTGTATGATTACTAATAGGTGATGCAATATGTTGGTGCTTGTAGGAAATTAGGTGATGGTTTGTTCTTGCAATGTTGTGACGAAGTCTCCAAGCTATACCCAAAGATCAAATATGAGTCAATGATCATCGATAACTGTTGCATGCAGGTAAGAATTAAGTACTTTCATGTATGTGAAAAAAAAAATTTCTTATATTTTATATTCACTAGTGGGATTACTAGTGTTATAACTGCTGTCAAACAATCATGTGTCATCTCCACAATAAAGGTTGACTGTAATCTGTCTCCAACACACTGTCTCTTATAGTAATACACTCTGAGACTGTCTTCTTGGTGTTGTCCTCCCGCTTGTATTGTTGTCAACCTCCTGCTCTCTTGCCTTTGACTTTTCCTTCTATTATGGTTTTTAAAAGAGTTTCTCTTTTAATATTTTACTTGTCTTCTTAATTTTTCATTTCTTATCTGTTCAGAACCCCTGTTCTTGTTTGTTTTTGTTTCTCTTAGATGCGACCTTTTCTTCTGTATGTCCACATCCTCAGAGACTCAGTTTGATTTTCTGAGAGTGAAAATTAGCAATCAGTTTTTCTTTTTAACACCGAAATTATCACTGGGGTGAAAACAGGGGTAACTGCAGTCAGGCTAATACCAAGAAATATATAAAATCTTTTAGGGTGGCCCTTTCTTGCAATTGCTTAATATATATATAATATCACTGGAGTTTGTCTGGAGTGTTTTCTTTATTGATGATTTCAGGAGGAGACTCGGGACAGAACCAATACCGAACTTTATAGGTAGGCAAAAAATCAAATGGTTTGGCCATGTAACAAGATTGTCATCAGACAGGGCACCACAGAGGGCAATGTTATACAGATACAGCCGTAACAGAACCAGAGGTTAACCACCCATAAGATGGACCTCAGAATGATTACACACTGAAAAGTACTTTAAATAAAGTGAACAGACTGGCTCGTTCCAGAGACCTCTTTCTGCCCTAATGCTGCGAGGCATTCCAGGAGTAGAGGAAAGAAGAAGAAGACTTTCTACAAAGTCTCTGCAGTAGCAGTAAAGGAAATGATGCCTAAAAAAATGCTAGTGCTGGGTATCATTGCCATTTGCCATGGAAAGGGGAGGGGGGTTCTGTTTATTAGATATTAACCAGAATCTTCTAAATGTTTTGAGGTAGAAAAACCCAGTAATACTTACCAGTTTAACTCTTTTAGTCCCGGGGATGTTTAGCAATCTAGGCCCAAAGGGTGGTAAAGAGAGACATACAATTTTCACATCTTGCATTCATTGGGCTTCAAGGTAGGAACCTATGAACATATGATGTGTTCCTTGAGACCAAAAGATTTAAGTCCTTATAGATGTCCTAATAATTACTTGTTTAGAGGTTCTTTTGCTTTCAAGGATGCAGATCTAAATTGCAGGGGTGTTCACACCTTCATATAGCATCATATATGGTAAATGTGTGTATGTTTCATGCATGCACACGCAAGTGTCTGCTAAGCTATGACTGTTCCATAAGATACACCAGCCAACCATAGATTTTACCATGGCAGCATTTATGTTTCTGTTACAGCTGGTATCCAATCCCTACCAGTTTGATGTGATGGTGATGCCAAACCTGTACGGAAATATTGTGGACAACCTGGCCGCTGGCCTTGTTGGCGGTGCTGGTGTGGTACCTGGCGAGAGCTACAGTGCCAGTGTAGCGGTTTTTGAGCAGGTAAGCAGGGGGTAATGGTTGATTGTTGAGTAGGTAAGCAGGGGGTAATGGTTGATTGTTGAGTAGGTAAGCAGGGGGTAATGGCTGATTGTTGAGTAGGTAAGCAGGGGGTAATGGTTGATTGTTGAGTAGGTAAGCAGGGGGTAATGGTTGATTGTTGAGTAGGTAAGCAGGGGGTAATGGTTGATTGTTGAGTAGGTAAGCAGGGGGTAATGGTTGATTGTTGAGTAGGTAAGCAGGGGGTAATGGCTGATTGTTGAGTAGGTAAGCAGGGGGTAATGGTTGATTGTTGAGTAGGTAAGCAGGGGGTAATGGCTGATTGTTGAGTAGGTAATAAGGGGTAATGGCTGATTGTTAAATAGATAGACAGGTGTTATTGGCGGATTGTTGTGTAGGTCGGAAGTAATGCTGATTGTTGAACAAATAAGCAGGAGGTTTTGGCTGAATGTTGAGATAAGCAGGGGTAATGGCTGATAGTTAAATGGTAACTAGGGGTATTAGCTGATTTTTGGGAAGTGTGGACTTTTATGAGGTCAGGATGTGAATATATTGGCTATAAATAACAATTAGGGAGATGTGTTTTTTTTCAAACTAAATGGTTGTTTGTCATGTTGAGGTCATATTTTTTCTATAAGCCTCAGTTGTAGAGGTCACAGGGGTCATGGCAGGAGTCGCATGACAACTTTTTTTTAATGGCCACGGAATGTATTTCATTTAATGCTTCGCTGTGTTCATGCTTTCTTATTAATCCCTTAAAATTTGTTTATGTATTTCAAAGCAAGTACATAAAAAAATGTTCCTAAATACATTTAAAGAAAAATGTATTAGTGATATGTATAAAATTTTGTTCTTAAATATAATCTTTCAGGAATTCGTATGCTATCATGTCCCTTTCTGTTGAAAAAAATTTTTTTTTGTTAGGTGTTACGGGAGAGGAAAAGGGTTAATTGGAATCTGTCTAGATAAAAAAAAAAAAATACACATTAATCACTTCTTGTGGTTGAAAACTTTCTTTGCTTCTTAATCTCTTTAGAAGGTTTTATTGCCAATTTCATGGTTTTTTTAATGGATTAGTTTTCACATTTATCGGTGTATGATGCAAGCCATATATTTTTTTTTTAAAAATCCTTAACTTGTGGATGTAGCTCATGGATTGTTTACTGAGTCACTGAAAAAGAAAACTTGACTTTTTGAACTGAGATACTTCTGGAAAATTCTTAGAATACTGTTGACCAAGAAAAAGAAAAAAAAAAACACTGATATCTTTCATGGTCTGAGCTTGGAGGAGAATTGGCTTAAAAACAGCATCCTGTCCCAAAAGCTCAGGTATTTTGACAGTGAAAAACGTCATGGTGGACTGGAGAGAGCGGTGATGGAGGGTACAGTTTCCAAAGATGGATATAAGACTTTGAAAGTGCATTGGTTATGAAAAAGTACATAGGGCTGGAGAACTGGCTCAGGGGGGGGGGGGGGGGGGAGAGGACTTCCAGGCATGCTGTGATGAGAGCGACGTCATGTAAAGGATCTGCGGATTGCTGATGAAGATTTTTGCTAGATAGTTGATGTAGTAATTTCATGCTGACCACCCTTATCTGCCAAGACATTCCCTTATACATATTTAAAGTTGAGCATAAACAAAAATCCCCACCTTGATGGGCATTTAAATAGAGGACCATTAGGCTGGTTGACGTGCTTGCTACTTCAGCTGCCACTTACATGGCTGACCTTGATATTTTAGAGAGATCATTTTCTTCAGATATCTAATTAATTTTTTTTAAAATCTGTGATAGTAGGGAAGAGATACTGGTTAAGAATACTGGGCTGCTCGAATCCACGGTAAGAGGATAGGTTTTCCCTTGTTGGGGGAAAAAAAATCCTAACCTACACAGGGGAGTCACCGTGGTATAGCGGCTAGACGCTCACGTGTGGATCGGAAGGTCATGGGTTCACTCTCTGGTCGAGCCGGACTTTTAGAAAAAATGACCTTGACTCCCAGGTCGACCCAGCGTGAGTGGGTACCGGGTGCAGTCCTGGGAATTCAAGGCGGCCAGCGTAATGCTGACCACATCTCCCATCTTGTGCCGATTTGTCTATAAAAATATAGGTCTAGTCCTGTATGCCCTATACACCCAGAGGTGTGAAAAGGGGTGCTTTACTTTACTTTACTTTAACCTGACAGTCCTTGTGGACAGCCTTAGTTATACTGATGCAGATCTTCAGGCTGATGACACCAGCCTTAAAATAAAAAGTAGTCAGTATAGATAAATAGTTCTAAAATTAGATTTTTTTTTCTGGAAATATCTAAATCGGTCTTCACCCCCCCCCCCCCCCTTTTTTTTTAACCCTTCCTGGAAGTATCAACATTTTTATATAAATATCTTTTTGTTTGCATGCAGATTTCTAAATTAATTATGTTTTTAAATGGAGGTATCGAAGTTTTGTGTTCAGACTGTTACAGTTCTATCTTTCCTAAAACTCAACAGGGTGCTCGTCATGCTTTCGCTGAAGCCGTTGGTAAAAATATAGCCAATCCTACGGCTACATTACTGAGTGCTTGCAACATGCTGAAGCACCTGCATCTGGAATATCACGCAACGGTGATAGATAATGCAATCATCAAAGTTATCAAAGGAGGAAAGGTAAGTTGGAGTTGAAATTACGTTTATAAATCTGTATATTTCCTGGCACATTAAAATGGTAGAGAAAATTTAAGCAGTTGAATGTTTAGATTAAAGATTTCATTTAAAGATAATCTAAGCAGAAGGATAATACACACAGTTGAATGCTGAGATTAAAGATTATATTTAAAGATAATCTAAGCAGAAGGATAATACACACAGTCTAATGCTGAGATTAAAGATTATATTTAAAGATAATCTAAGCAGAAGGATAATACACACAGTTGAATGTTGGGATTAAAGATTATATTTAAAGATAATCTAAGCAGAAGGATAATACACACAGTTGAATGTTGGGATTAAAGATTACATTTAAAGAGAATCTAAGCAGAAGGATAATACACACAGTTGAATATTGGGATTAAAGATTTCATTTAAAGATAATCTAAGCAGAAGGATAATACGCACAGTTGAATGTAGAGATTGAAGATTTCATTTTAAAAGAATTCAGTCAGAAGGATGATACACACAGTTGAATATCTATAGTATTTCAGCTCAAAAGCGCCTATTTTCTTTCTTAAGGACTAGGAGATAGTTCACGACTCATTACTTTATGATGCTGAAGTAAAATGATATTCAACTATCTCATTCACAGGTGAAGACACAAGACATGGGTGGTTACTCAGGCACCTCAGACTTCATCAATGCAGTGGTTCACAACCTGCAATGACAGCACATTGTGAACTACAGTTATCGTGTATTGATGATCAAGGATTAGTGAACTAATTAAATTACACATTTTGCCCTTTTTTTAAAAAATAGTCAAGTGTAGTGATGGTAACCCTCTTTTACATTTTGTATGTGTGTCCGTGAAGTAAAACAGGAGTAACTATTTTGAGATTTGTATCATTCAAGATAAGATGAACTGTCATTTGTTTGGATAAGAACATTATTATTTGCATTTAAAGAAAGTGTACTAGTCTGTATAGTTAACTTCATTTCTGTCCCCACTCCCCAGAAGAAATAAAAGAAAGGTATAAAGGCTTGACATGGTATGATTAAGGACAGATACTTCATTAGAAAATGCAAGAAGAAAAAGATGAGATTTTGTTTTTGTGAGAAAAATATACAAAGAGGGAGGGAACCAGTCATCTTACTTCTTTACATCATAACCTAGTAAATAAGGGTCAAACACTGGACATGTCAGTGGCATTCTCTACCAGGAGATTGATTGCTTGAATATTTATGTTGTATATTTATGTATTTACTACGTATTTTGCCCAACCCTTTTCCCAGTGATGTTGATTAGCAAATAACAATATTAGTGACCTGTGCGCTTACACTAACACTTGAATGTACTTGTGTATAAGTGTGTTATTTATGTGAAGAATATCCTGTCACTGAGTAAACAGTGTTTTATACAGCAATCTAGCAGGTTTCCCTGTTATCAAGCAAATTCTCTTTCATATTCCAAAAATGGCAAGTTGCCTGTTACCAGAGAACTGGTGGTGCTTTATGCAATCAGTTGTGTGTGCAAGTACTGATCTGTTGTAATTTTTGCTGCCTTTTGACGACAAACTACAGTTTTGGACTGTTTGTGTTGCTGCTTCTGATGGCTGCCTCATGCATTTACAGCATATTGTGCTGTTGGCTTTGCTAAGACTGATGTTTACTCATTTTTCAAGAGGGACAGTGATGGACTTTCTGAGTGTTTTTCATTGGCACACGAATGGAGCTACAGTAGGGAGACCCATGAACCTGGAACTGCGATTACCTTACACGATTACCTAATCGCCTGATAATCTAGCAGTCACCCGTTGTAATCTGCTTCTGGCACTTGTCATGGATTAGTCAGGAAAATATTAATTGATGCTGTCTGCACAGTGCAGGTTCACTGTCATCTTATTGTTACTATCAGTGCACATCATGCAGTTTCTCTTTGTTTGTTTTTCCAATGCAGCAGCCATCCCAAATGTTACAGCATAGCTCAGTGTAGATGCATGAAGTTGCAGCAAGGATTGACAACAGATATATGTCCATCCTTTGCTGTTTTGGGGAATAGTATGTGTTGAGGCTTCAATCTCTTTTATTGTGTGACTCTCATACCACTGTCTGGAAGCCACAAAAACAGTCTTAAAATGGAGTAATTTATTATACACAATATAAGATTGCTATATTAAATACACATCTGTACACTGCATATATAAATGTGGGTTTCATTGTTTACCAGAGGACTTGTCTTGTTATACATGGTATATAATATAATCTCACTTGTTTAATATGGCTCTGAAACTTGCAGCACATTAAAAAAGATAAAGCCCTGTTGAATAATTTTGAAAACACTCTTACGACGAATCTTGGAACCCCTCAAAGATGCAAACAGCAGGGAATAGATAGGGAGAGGCAACGAAATTCATAATTGCCACTGATCACTGGCATCATGAGGGCTAATAAACTGAAATGGTTGGGGCACATTGAGAGAATGTGAGATGACAGAGGAGTGAAAACTATACACAGGGGAGATAAATGGTCAGCAAGTGTCACCAAATGGAAGGACAGGAGAAGGCCAACAAGAGAGATAAATGGAGGCGGGTGGTAACTGCGGAAATGAACCTCAAGGGCTCGGAATGCTGAAAAAGAAGAAGATATATTAATCTAGATTTGTTGATATTATTTATAATTCTCATCTGCTTTTCTAGCAAGAAAAAAAGAATTTTATAAAATATAAAAGGTGAAGTTTTGTTTATTGTATCATGGGGAAATTTTTCTCTGTGTTTAGAATTTCAGATAAAAATATTTTTTGCTAGGGCATTAACTTTCTTTCTAATGAGTTTCTTTAGTCACCTGAAAGTGTTGTTTCTGATTATTTTAAAGAATATACACTATAGTTTGATAAAAAAGAAATGACTTATTAATTCTTTATACAGAGTTTGTCCGTTTGTGTGGTAAACAAAATTATGGAGGTTGATTAATGTAGATTTTAAAACGTTTTTGTAAATTGTCTAATAGTGTGTACGAAGTTGGAAGCATATACTTAATAGGATGTCACACAACCAAACCCAGCTTTTGTTGGGTATCTCTGGTCTTCTTAGGCAATTTTACATTCAGTATTTTGCCGTTGACACTAAATACAGTTTGTGGAAATAAATGCAAAATGGTCTGCAAACATATCTCCTGCAACTGACTGGAAACAGGTATGTCAGAATTATGAAACTGCATCCATGACCATAATTTGTTTAAATCTTCTTCTTCCATGCCGTGTGGCATTTGTAGTCATAGCTATCCTCAGCCTTATGTCTCGTATATATTGTCAATCACTTATGATCTTCTATGCCATGCTGTCAAACTGTCTAGCATCTCTCTCTCCCTCCCTCCCTTTCTGCCAATTTCTCTAACCAACCGTCATGATGTGCTTCAGTTTTCTTCTCCTGGCATGACCAAAGAATGTAAATTGTCTCCCTGTGATGTGAGCAATCAGCTCTCTTTGTGAGTTCATTTCTTTCAAGATATACTCCTAACTTTTTTTTTTAGAATGTTCTCGTTGATTACACCATATTATAATAAATTACAAACATTCATTAACCGGTGCCTGTGCAGATTACAGTGAATTAAATGCTATGATAGAATTGCTAATTTAGAGCTTTTGGGAGATAACTAAACAAGTTCCAGTGTAACAAGAGGTGGAAAAAAAAGACCATGGCTTTGGATAGGATACTTGTTGAAAAAACCTGAGAACAATGTAACTAGAATGTCTTTGCACTGGAACCCACAGGGGTACAGAAAAAAAGGAAGACCCCCCAAAAAATAACACACACAAATGGAGAAGGGAGCTAGAGAGCGAAGTTAAATATATGTGGAGGGCTGCATGGGCTAGCCAAGTATAGAAGAACTTGGCGTGAGTTGATTAAATGCCTATGCTCCATAGGAAGTTAGAAAGGCAGAAGAAGACGACACCATATATTCACCATAAAGAAGAAAATCAAGATCTCCCAAACTAAATCTTTCAGAGAGTTTTAGCAAGTTGACAAATTGCAAGAATGAAAAGATCATCACGTCCTGTAGGGAAGTGCTGCAGAGTATTTGCCAGATACTTAACTGAGAGGAATGTTCAATTAAGAATTGACATCACAGCACTCGGGACACCCCCCTCAGTGCTCCGCCCCCATCTTCAGCAGTAAACAAAGAGTTGAAATTCTGATGGTACCAGTAATTGTCTGACTCTATATCTGTCTCGCCTTTCCCCTGAGTGTTGAGCGTCGGTCAGATTCCTGTGTAATTTCTTGTAGTGTCATCCTCCTCAGACTAATAATCTTTCTGTTCCTCTGCACTGTTCACTTGCCCTTAACAGCATCCAGCTTTTCATACATCAGTTCACCACCAAATGGTGCAGAACTGGCCAGACTATCTACCTGCACATTTCTCAGCATAACCTGGAGAAAAATCTACAAAGGACTGAGAGGAAGGACAAGACGAACATAGGCTGGGACTGTAACTGGTACCCTTGTTTGTTTTGTACCCTTGTTTGTTTTGTACTCTTGTTTGTTTTGTACTCTTGTTTGTTTTGAAGATCCTCTTCATCGGACATGACCACAAATGGTCTGATCTCCGCCTGAGTACGTCTCAAGGTTTTTTTAGGCTGACAACTTACATTCTATTGTTGTTGGGGGGTGGCATCCACATTGTTTTCCTGTCTGATGGTTCCAAATGGTACACCCATGGTATGCGGTCTATTCAGTGAGAAATCATTTTTCACGAAACTAAAAGCTTGACAGTGTTTTGTCTCTCGAATGGCACTGATGATGTCTCTTCTGTCCATAGAGGGTCCATTCCTGATAGTCGCACTGCCAACCAGAGCGTCTGCTCATTCATTGTCTTTCACACCAGCATATCCTGGGACAAAAATGAAGGTGATTTTGCGAAATGCTGCGTGCTGAATCAGATGGAGCCACTGTTTCTGTATATGCCCTGCCTTGATCTTCTCCAGTATGCTCCTGTCGCTAAGCAAACCTGCACTGGTGACTCCTCAATTTTCAGCCATTCTACGGCAAAAGGTAAAGTAGGGAGATGTGAACCAGCGTCATTGCACACGGTTATAAACCATAAGTGCTCTGCCACCAGTACGGACAGCTGATAAGAATTGTCCGCCTGTGTCGCCATTCGCACGTAACTCTGTAGCTACAGCGACGTTCCTCCATTTACCTTAGAGTATCACTCTGGTACCCATTTCCTAGAGCTGGGTGATCCCCGGGAGCCGCCCGGTTTTGAACACCGACCGTGGGCTGCAGCAAGTCGCAGCTGGATTTCAAAGCGAGCTTCTTATCGACTGCGTTAACACGGCCCCTATTCTAGGGCCTTTGTCACATCAATGACCTCCATTGTCATACTGCTGGCGGTAGAAGCAAAGGCTCCACTGTCTGCTTTGATGACTTTCCCTTTTGTTCTTGTCGTGAAAGCTCATGCACTTCGCTTCTGACTAATCACAGAACCACTTGTTTATATTTCACAGTATCTTCTGGTGATGTGTGCTTCAACGTCTGCATCAACTATTGGTGGCGTTAAATCACGGCACTGTCTTGTCAGGGTGATTACTGCCTTTATTTTGCGGTGTAGGCGGGTGGGTCTTTGAGCCTGAGGATTTATGACCGCATGGCTAGTGCTGTCGCCACGACTGTGCAGGTGAGGATTTTATTTTGCTCCCGACAGAAAAAAAAATCCCCAGCCGTACCCGGG